TAAATGAGATTTTTCTCACATTTGCTTCTCCCATCAACTGGCTTCCTTTTTTGTTTGCTTTTCGCCGCTGGCATTCTAATAGTAATTTCTATCTCGAATGGAGGCGGATGAGGGCGGAAAAGGAGGATCTGAGCCAGTTTTTCAGTGTGTCCAGTGATTACAGTCCAGGGTCTGAAAGTCTATAAGTAATAATCAACTTTTTGTGGAGGGCAGCGAAAAAGGTTTCCTATGACAGTTGCTTATGAAGAGCTCTGGCGCAGGAAAAACAAACAGAAAACTTCAATTACAGGGCACACAAATGGATTGAAAATTGAAAGATGGAAAGAAGGGGAAAGTGAGAGCATCTCAATAAATGAAAACTTTCATTTTAGGCCCAAAGAAAGTAGGATCTTAGTACACAGACATATATATATAAGATTGACATTAAGCGGGAATAGATTTAAAAAAATTTAATAAGAAAATCTAAAAAAGTAATAGACATATTTATATTCTATTGGCACTTATTTTATCTATAATTTAATTGTCTCTATAAAGATCCTTTCAACACCTTTTCTCTATGTGTACTGAATTGATTGGTCTTTAGTTAAATAAATATTTCTCTTATTGCTCTTACACAAAAGGGCTTAAAAGCTCTCCCAATGAATACCAAAGTCTTTCGGTATGGAATGCCATGGCATGACAGAACCACTAACCAAAAGGATTTCCAATCTGTTTCTTTGCTCGCCCTTTCCTTTCATTCTTATCCAGGATAACAGCAAACCTTTGACATGGCCAGTATGGCTAAATGCTGAAGCATTAACTCGACTAAAGAACTTCATTATGGGCCCTGATGCTAATAAATCTTTTGAGTCGTTCTACCTTTTGACTCCTGCAAGCAACAATGAATCATAATGAGTCCTCGACTCGCTGGCCAAACACCCAAAAAGACAAAGGGCCCCTGGAAATCGGCATTCGTACAATCATACGCCCTGTTGTACACGGCCGAGGAAACCAAACAAAGTCGGGCCAAGAAAGCTAAGCTGCGGCCAAGTCGTAACATTATGGCGTGACGGGCAAGTAAGCAATAAGGCGTAGCATAAATTAGCCGAATAAACAGAAATGAAACAAAGGGCGAAAACAACTTTAATGTTTGTTAAGCAAATATTATCCCCGGCCTGTGGGGCATGGTTTTTCCCAGAACGGAATGGGTCCCATTAGAAGTTGCCCCTCCGGTTGTGTTACACACGTATTTGCCGTTGTTGCCAAACCCCTTACAACAATGAAACGTCTTTATGTGACGATTATCTGAACATAACCCAGGCCGAATGTGCAATTAACTGTGACATCCGACTGTGCCAGGCCTATAGCTTTCCAGTCCCGAATATGACACACTGAAATATACGTTCAGAGATTTACGGCAAAAACTCAAATAAAATTGAATCCTCACTGCGAGTGATAATTTCGAAAAGAGCTTTCCTGTTTTAGAGGGGCTTAGAGGATGAAATGGACACAGAGAAATTTTTTAGATTTTTCTTGTTGTCGGATTGCACTACTGAATTAAATACACTTTATTTATATTTAAGTTATTGTTTAATCCCAGTGATGACATTAAACAAATTACAAATAAATGTTTGTTGATTTAAAATAAAAAAAAAAAAGATGTTTATATTAGGTGGTACTTATTTTCCAATCAAACTTCTTTCACAATAACCTATTGACACATAAAAACAAATAAAACGTAAACAGACGTGCGTAATTATTAAGTTTAATTATGAACATTTGTTGCCTTATTAACATAAATTAACATAACCATCAATTTACTTGGTGAGCATTCATTGATTTTTTAGCTTATTTATCATCCGCGAAATAGTTTTAAAGAAACGATCTCAATATGAACAATTCTGAAAATCCTGAATTGATACGAAAGTGCCAGCAATTGAATAAGCGTTAAAAAATTTAAATTAATTTGTAAATTGTATAAAACTTAAAAATCTTATTAATAAATTTATTTTTTGCTTCGATATTCGATGCAGACAACAGTCAACATCATAAGTTATATTTGCAATCCCCTAATTTACCATTCAATCAAATTACGATGACCAATGAATAGAAAACACATGGAACACTATAAACAGACAACAAAAATTCCCAATAAAGCAAACAAATTTAACGTCCCACAATCTCTCAATTATTTCTAATTTATTGGCATTTTATGAACAGCATATAGACCGAATGCAATATATCTTTGCCAGCCCAAAACCCCAATGGAGCCCATTGAATCGCCCACACAGATGGAGATGGTAATGCGCTTACAGAGAAGCCAACAACCATGGCAGAGTCATTTCCATGCATATAGGTTTTTACTCCACATATAGGCTTATACCCCCCAAAACCTTCCCCCCAAAAAATCCAGTACTTCTCCTTTTTTTTCGAATGGGGGAAAAAAGGTAAATATGATGTGAAGCGCTTATTGAATTGAATTTGTTGACTAGCGTTTTTGTAGAGCGCTTTTCCCCACCACAAAACCTTCAAAGCTGTCACAGCTGCTGTCACACACTGCAACTGGAAATTTTTCCTTTTTTTTTCCCCTCCCTGATAGTCACGTGTAGTTATGCAACACATTTTTCGTGCCTAGAAGGACGTTGCGTGTGTCCCGAAATCAATCATACGCCGAAATCGACAAGAACAACACAGGCAAACAAGGCAAAACAAAAAAAATACGTCGAAACAAAGCCCAAAGTAATGCGATATTTTTTATTGATTTTCATTGTGTCCCTCTTTTGGGAACGGGTACCGAGGGGTTTTGCTTGGGGCGCAGATATGAAAAGTACTTGATGTTGGCGATATGCGATGCGGGCCCTCTTGACTTCGAGCCAATGCTTTTCAAATGCAAAATGCAAAAAGCGTTTTAGCAACATACCCTGTTTTCAGTTTCATAACAAAATGACTTTAAAAAGTGTAGAAATTGGATAGCGGAGTAATATCAAGAGAAGTCATCATAAAAATGTAATGTTCAACATCAACTTCTGTTCTTCCTAAAAAAACAAAATCGTATTTCTGGAACTAAAAAAATGTTTAAGTGTTAAATTAATTTTGAAGTGTTTTCAAAAATAAATTAAATAAAATTTTGAACTCATCGTTAAATATTTCAATAAAATAAGCCTCTCTTAATCATAATTTTAATAAGAAATAGAAAGAAGGGTTATGTTTCAATAAGTATTTAATTAAAATACTATGTTAAGTAAAATTGCTTGACAATACAAATATTTCAAAAAAAACAGAACATAATACTAAACATTTTAAAAATATTCTGTAGCCTATAGCATTTATATTATTTTTAAAATTTTAAGAATCGATTTTTGATGCTGTTAAAGACTTAAATCCAAAACTTCTTGAACATGGCAGTTTCTATGACATCCATAAGATTTTCCGGTCAGAATCTAGTTGTAAAAGAAAAATAGGTCTAAGACTTGAACAAATGAAAAACATAGAAAGGCGGATTTACAATGCCTTGAAGGGCATGCATTTCATTGTTCTTGTATTGTTATTTGGCCAACAGTTTTTCTGTTGGCCTATTTTTTTAGCGTTTTTGACTTTTATATGTGTGCCTTTGCTTGTGTATACTGGTTTCACATTTGTTACTGATATTTTATGACACTGTAAACATTTTACAATGCGAATTCAGTTGCCAGGGGATGAGTTCCAGTTGGTACACTTCTGGCAGGGCGAGTGTGTGTTATCCATTCAATATGCTCAGCAGAGCATTACATGATTCTATAGCCTTGTGTCCTTGCAAGTCCTTGCCCTCAGTCGCCCCCTCAAAATGTGCGAATGCGAGAGTGTTTACACGCAGTAAAATGCGGGCAAAAAAAGCAAGTTTTTATTATTTTTTTTTTTAGGTCAATTAAAATGGGTTGGCCAAGAACGTACCATTTTGTAGACGCACACCCAGCTATCAATCATGTTTTATCTCTTTTTTTTGGATTGCTCTTCTGTAATTAGTTAAGCAGTAACTAATTGAAAACATCTCGGAGATTTGTTTGGCGTTGATTAAGTAAGTTTTCGGACAGCCCATCAAGTGATATTTGTCAAAAAACTGACAATTCCGTGGCGTTTAGTGCGTGTATTTTCTTTTTCCATCATTAATTACCGAAACGCTTGAGTTTCTCTTGTTTGGCCTGTCAGTTGATTGGACAAGTGAGGGCGAATAGCTCGCGAGTCTGGCGAACACGAAAAACATTTACTGGAAATGTTGAAAAACTTTGCCAGATAGCGCAGCGGCAACTTAAGTGCTATTGTACGGGCATTGAGTGGGGAAAAAATGCATAAAATCGATAGTCAGATGATTGAGATGATTGCTTAAAAGTGGTTATATTATCTGTCCTGGAACCAGATGGATAGCTTGAAAGGAGACTCTCAACAAATGGCTTGATGGCCTTTAGTTTCTGTTGTTAGCTTTTAAAAGAATGTAAGGTTTAGCTTGGCTTGAATTCAATATGCTGTACTGTAATCGAACAGGACGATAAATCGGTTTAAATTTGGAATTAAAAATATTTTTTCCAAAAATCTTAGTCAGCAGTTATATTTCATTCCAACATTTTACCTGATAAAAGCCAGCTTTTATTTTAAAAGGCTTAAAAGATTAAAGATATTTTTCTAGGAAAAGAATTTGTAATTGTAACTTGTATCAGACAAATGACAATCTTTTGCACAAATTGTTTTTCAATTTTAAAATTTATGTCACGGTTTTCCGAGTTTCGCATGTGAAATTCAACTTTTATTCGGTCCGAAACGGACGCATGATATATTTACACGACCACAGTCATTCAAGTTGAATAAGTTGTACGTAAAATGCAAATATAAAATAAACGCTCAATTTTCGATGGCGAATGGAAAATTTTTAAAGATTGATTGCATTTTTTGCAAAAGAGAATAAATAGCTTCGACGCATAGCAAAACGGCAGGCACTCAATTTATGCGAATGACTCTTAAATCTTTCAATTTATCTGGTATTTTTTCAGGCGGACAACTTTTTAATGGAAGCCTCCGGAACACGAATAATAACCAACACGAGGGAAGCATCCTCATCAGCAACATGATCCCCGTGATGTCCACGTAATGAAAACGAAACTCAAAAAGTTGTCGTGCCGTTGCTGAGCGGAAAAACAGCCCAGAAAAAAGGCCAAAATTAAACTAAAACCAAAAAATTGGGAACGAAAAATGAAGTCTGTTATTCTATATCCATATGGACCGCTAACCGGCGGCACTCGTTGCTGTCGCATGTTGCATGCCAAAAATTTGGCCATAACAAGTGCAATTTACACAATTGTAAGTGTTTGTGGAATATGGGTGTATCAGCTGTCACACGGGGCGTATACGCAATGTGGACAGGTATATAATTTAGTTTTCGCTAGTTAGTTTGAAAATGCCAGCCCAGGTATGAAAAACCAAAGTGTCACGAATAAGAACAGTAGCACGAAATCAGTTGTTGCGGCTGTTATTATAACATTTCGCCTGTTAATTGTGGCATAATTAATTGACAAGTGTCGTTGGCAAGAGTTTTTCTGCAACCATTGTGAATGTGCCGTGGCATACCTCAACCTCATTATTGTTATGAAGGGCATGGAAAACGGGGAACAAAACCACGAAAACTCCCCTTTTCAACGAGGGTTTTTCATCGAGCTTGCGTTGCACTTAAAATTAAACTAAGGGATCCAAGAAAATACACTACGATTTAATAGGGAATTTTACAAATATAAATTAATACATCAGAATGCTAAATATACTATAGTGAAACTTATTCATGTAAGGATGAGTGTATTTAACCTAGAACTTTTTTATAACAATATTTAAAAAATAGTCCCTCGACTAATGGAAAATAAAGGCTTGTTCTGCAGACTTAAACCAACAATTGAATTACTGCTTAAAATTACTAGCATTAAAGTGGCTACTATAATATAAAGAAGACATACCAGTAATTTTTACAATTTCTGTTTTAAACGTCTAAAATAAAATCCCAACCCCAGAGGTCCTTAACAAATGAATAGACAAAAACGGGAGTAGCTTGCACTCGTTTCTCTCAACTTTTGACTTGTGGCATGTATAAATTACAATTACATGATGCTTGTTATGGCTTTTAAATTATGTTAATGGCCAAATCGTGCTTGAGGTTTTTTCATATCATTTTGTATACTTCTTGTAGGGACAATGAAGAGCTGGGGACAACTACAAGAAAAACAATGCAATGCGACTTTAGCGGAAAACAATAGATATATTATACACGTTGCAATGCCATTTACCAACTCGTGGCGAGTAAATTAGTTTTTGTTTAAGGAGAGAACTTAAGTGTTTGGCTTCTGCAATTAGTGCACCATTTTATGGCAGTAACGAGCACAACCTCGGACGCAACAAGAGAGATTTCCCCTTCGTAACCCGACTTCTCGGCCAAGTAAACGCTACGTGTTTAGCATAAGTCTGAGTTAAGGACTCAGGGGGCTTCATGGGATGTGCAGGTTACAACGTAGAGTGCAGTCACGACACATAATGGATGTATCTTAAAAGCACGCCATTCTGCATTTGTTTATCATAGTCGTTGCTTATTTACAGAACCTCGTGCTTCGCCCTTAGGGATTATCTGTTCTGGAAATTGGTTCCTCGTTATTTTAGCAGTTTTGTTGAAAAAATGAACGGCCTTACTTGCCAGGACACCACTATAATTGTGAAGAAAATTTTTTGTTTTATTTGAAACGAAAATTGTTTTATATTTATTGTGTCTAGAAAACAAAACAAACATTTTAAGTCCATAATTTCATGGCTTGGCTTTACATAACATACGTATATAATAATATATAATATAAAATTATAAGTTAAAAATCTAAAAAAATTATTCCATTGATTTTCATCTATTAACACAACTCTTTGCTTACGAAAAAACGAAAAATTGGATTCATTCAAATTTAAACTTTTTTTAACTTTGAAACTTAAGTTATGCAATAATAATATGCCGAACTTTGATTGCACTGCCTTAAGCCTTCAATAAAAAAGATGTATTTAAGAAGTGACTCGTTAAATTGAAACCAAATGTTCAGAACTCATTATCTTCACCCTCTCATCAGAGAGACAGCCGACACGAAAACATTTTCACGGATTAATTAGCAGCAAAAACCCGAGCCAACACCTCAGACCCTAAAACCAAATTGGGTTCAGACCCGTTTAAAAGTAAAAACGTGTTGTGCAAAAAATAACGAGAAGGAGTTGGGTTGAAAAGAAGAGAAATTGACAGAGGGAAAACATGAGGGTAGATTTTGATGACCCATGAACCATTTTATATGCGGGTGCTCATTGCAATTGCGTGTTATGTTCGCAAAATACATTTCCCATGTCTCTGGTGACTCATATTTTATTCTGTCTCATTTTTCTTATAGAATATATCGCTTTTAATCGTACTGATCTACTCGTGGCGCATAAATGTCAATATGCACAAGTCGGCCGACCTGCAGGATGTTTACTACGGTAAGTTCAAAGTTCGGCAAACTCTGGCTAGTAATTAAGCGCACAGAATTTTGCTGTCAGCCAAAACCCAAAGCGGCAATAAACACAAAAACTGAAACGAAGAGCAGCCACATAATAAATAAAGCCATTTTAATAAATAAATTAAATGTAGATGAGAACGGAGGAAAGTCACCCACAAAGGAATAAAATTGGGTGCTAAATGTGCGAATAATGTGTATATGTATATGTATGAAATTTGAGTGTGATGGAGGCTGAACACTGTATATTTGGATTAATGATATCAAACATAAAGTGGTAAAGTTTCATTCATATTTTCACTAAGTGTGGAATTTTTTATGGCAACTGAATTTGTTTTAGATATAATTTATAGAAATAATAGGTTATTCATATATTTTGTGCGCACTATAATTTTATTTTCAATAATGTTCTCTTTATTGAACTCAGTTTTAATTTTATATTTATGCATTGCAGGTGTACAAATAGCATATTTTGCTATAATCGGCACACAAATGTCCATGATATTGCTGAGCATTGTGTTGATATTTGGAATATGCCGGGTGAGTTCTCTTGTTTGATTATAAGCTTTCAGCATTTTACAACATTAAGCGCATTGTTGGACCCACCTCAACCAACTGCACACACAACACACATTCCCCCCTCAAATCGAACAACTCAAAGTCAAATATCCGCAAATTATGCGCATTGTGCCTGAGCCTTTGCGTCAGGAAATGTTTACGGAGCAAACAAAGCACATTCAAATGTAAATTATAGAAAGCGTTCATACCGCCTGGATGCCTTCTCAAAATTCAAATATATATTTTTTGGAGTGCGAAATGTTACACGTGAAATGCCAACATTTACACTGAAGAAACTAAAAGAGAAGCTTATAGCCAAGCAAAAAGCATTTTAAATTTTGAAGGAACTAAAATATATATGGAATAGATAATAACTAAAGAAATGATTTAATAAACTTTATGTAAAACCAAATATAAAACAAGGAAGAGTTTGAACAGTTTAATAAATTACTTGCATTTAAGTTCAAACCAATCTTTTCATTAAAAATCTTAATCTAATTTTTGTTATGTTTCAAAATAAAATAATTTCAAACAGCTGCGAGCATCTCTAGAATTAAAATATATATATTTTTTTAACTTTTTCATGGAAAAATGTAAGGCTTAAACAAAACATTTTTGTTTTGTTTCAAAAAACAACATTTTGTTCTAAAAATATAAAATGTAAGCTAAATGTTTTAAGCCAATTTCAGTTGCGGGAATCTCTAGAACTTCACACATGAAAAAGAACGCCCCAGAAACTGAAAAGCCCAACAATGTTATTGGTAGGGGCATGAAAATGTGAACAATTTGTCACACAATTGGCAGCGGAATGGGCTGATGGCTGACTGACTAAACTGGAAGCGAGCTGACAGGACATTTGACGGGGATTGCATGGCACGAATTCAGTTCTGGCCTTGTTGCTGAGCCATTGCCAGCTTCATTTTGTGGAATTTTTTAATTTCGACTCTGACAGCCGAAATAGAAACGCGAATTCCCCACCAAAAAACTGAATGCCATTGTTTCCCCAGCCGTATGTGAATGAAAATGTTACCATGTAATGGTCAAATTAATTGCATATCGCTAATAGGCGCCATATCCTTAGTCACTTGAGCTGAGAGTCGTCAGCTGATGGCCATTAAATAATGCATAGAGCATTGGTCCTTAATTAGGCTAAACGAGTGCTTGGACAGCAAAAATGAAGGGAAACAAGCAAAAGTTGCGGCTGAAATTGAGGTTGATAGCTTATATACAACAGTAGATGGAAATGTTCTTGTTTTCCTTATAATATCTTATAGTGCTCTTTCAAAACAAATCAATTAGGTTCTGCAATTAAGTTTTTTATCAAATAATAGGGGGGTTAACTGTTGATTGAAATGCGTATTATATATATATATTTTAGTAAAATAGGAATTACATAAAGTCCGAACAGAAATTAAATCCACTAACAAATTCAAATTACTGTTGCCATGACAAATGTTATTTTTAAAAAATACCTGATTTACATTTTTAAATAAACTGGTTTAAAGAGAAATGGCATTGTGCTTTCAATAACTTTATCCTTTTAAGCTTACCCAAAACTGTAGTTACACTAATTTATAAAATTCCCTTTACCACACTAACTCAAATAAAATCTTCATTCTGGGATTACACACATGTTCACAAATTAGGCAAGCACTATAGCCCATATTAAAATGTAATTCGCTGACAAAATACATTTTCCATGGCCCCCACAAAATTGCCGTGCTAAAACGTTGTGGCCAAAAACTGTCAGCTGCGCATCAGAAATTGGCAACGTGCTCAGCAAAAAAAATATTTAGCGCAGGAAAAAGCCCCAAAAAATCCAATCAGAGGTTTTACCACCATGGCGAGATAAATTACAGCGCACTCACGATTTCTAACACCCACCTCCCAGCCATATTTTATGGTATAGCCATGAAATCAATAGCTTCAATTCTGTACAGGTAGCGGTTTCAGTGGCCCTTTGCACTTTATTTTCTAATGGAAATATATATTCAAGCTGGTTTTATGTTTTTCGCGTTTCCCTAGGAGAACCCCGGACTAATTGTACCCTGGATAATTGGCTATATAACATTTATGGCCCTGGAAGCTGTCGCCATGGTCTACTCCAATGTGCTGCGCGATCATGTAAATAAGGTGAGTGTTCGACATAGAATCCCAGGGGCAGAGGAAAAATGTTTTTAATGTATATTGAAGATGTTCTCATTGCGATCTGCTGTGGGAGCCATTTGTTTAATGAAAAACATGCCGCACAAAGGATTCTGGGCCCAACGGGGGGGTCCTTGTTGCATAAGCGAACTCGGCGCCTGCCTGGCATAAATCAATGGGCATCAACACAGGCAAGGGCAGAGGCAGAGGCAAAGGCAAACAAATAAATTACACAAAAAGCCTTCAACGACAACAAATCAAGGCGAATCCGTTACATATGTAAAAAGTTACTGGCTTCCTTTATGCTAAAATCAAACAAAAGCTGTGGGTTATGGTCGGAAGTTGGCGACAGTTGAATGCATTGTCGGCAAGAAAATTGAATGAAGTTAGTTGGCAAGTAAATGTAAACACAAAACCGAGTGCAACAGGCTGGGAATTGAATGAATAGTGGGGAAGCAAGAGGAAACCGGAAACGGATGCGAATAGACAAGCAGCCACAGATGTTTGATTTGGGACCAATTCAAAACAAAAATGGTTGATTAAAAGTCAAGAGTTGCATCAGGGGTTACTCTTAACCAGTGTATAGTTTAAAGGAAAGAAAATAAGCATATGCTTTAATTCACTTAATTTATTTGCATGTGGTGTCGACTTCTACTTAAAACAAGAAAGAAAGCAAACTTCGGCAAGCCGAAGTTCATATACCCTTGCAGCTATTGCATGAATTAAATACTTTTGAAAACATTTAAATTATGATTTACTTGAGTATATACTGAAAAACAGTGAAGCTATGATGATTTGCAGCTCAATTATTAGATAGTTATTTTATATATTTTTATTAGTTCTATGGGAGCTATATGATATAGACGTCCGATTTTGATAAAATTTAAACCATAATTCTGAAATAATTAAACATATGTCGAAGAACTAAACAAAAAATTAAAAAACAGAAAAGTTATAATTTTTTTTCATTTATTTCTCCGATTGTTCCTATGGGACCTATATGATATAGTCGTCCGACTTTGATGAAATTTAAACCGTAAATCGAAAATATTTAACCATTACTAAATGTCGAAGAACTAAACGAAAAATTAAAAAACAGCAAAGTTATAATTTTTTTTCATTTATTTTTCCGATTGTTCCTATGGGAGCTATATGCTATAGTCGTCCGATTTTGATGAAATTTAAACCTTAAATCGGAAATATTTAACCATTACTAAATGTCGAAGAACTAAACAAAAAATTAAAAAACAGCAAAGTTATAATTTTTTTTCATTTATTTTTCCGATTGTTCCTATGGGAGCTATATGCTATAGTCGTCCGATCCGGCTCGTTCCGACTTATATATTACCTGCAATAGAAAGACAGCTTTTGGGAAAGTTTCATGCAGATAGCTTTAAAGCTGAGAGACTAGTTTGCATATAAACGGACGGACAGACGGACAGACGGACAGACGGACAGACGGACAGACGGACGGACAGACGGACATGGCTAGATCGACTCGCCTAGTGATGCTGATCAAGAATATATATACTTTATAGGGTCGGAGATGTCTCCTTCACTGCGTTGCAAACTTCTGACTGAAATTATAATACCCTCTGCAAGGGTATAAAAAATTGTTGTTCCACTAATAGTTTCAAAAAGGGAATTATTACATTTTTTTAATTACTCTTAAACCTAAAATTCAATCATATTTTACCGTAAATATTCATTTTTATTTTTCATATCATTAAAAAAATGTTTATAAATAACAAACCTATTCGGTTGTTTTATCCCAGGACTTCTGGTCACTTTTCTACGCTTTCTAACTCATTTTTTAACGTAATCCTGCTCACAGTTAAAGTGCCTTCTTCAAATAAATGAAGCGCACAAAGCCCGGGCATAGAAAAAAAAAATAGAAAAAGCGAGGGAAATAAACAAACCCACACACGTAAAAATTCAGAGTCAAACATACGAACAAGAGCCCACTACACACTCGCACTTAAAACAAGCGACAAAGTCAAAGCGCCACAAAAGGGCGGCGGGAAAAGAGGGCGGGCCGGGAAAACTGGGGGGAGGATTGGAGGATTGGAAAACTCAAAGAACAGCGGCACCCAAACACAGATACAAACGTATCTACGTCTATAGTATTCGAGTATAGCCATGTGGATCTAGTCCGTCTACACATATGCAATGAGTTGGGCATTTTTCTGCACCATTTTCCTTTAGAATTTTACATTTGTCTGTGTCGCACGGCATTTGTTTTTGTTGTTCGGCTTTTTCTATTACGAACGTGTTCTGCTTTTCTACGGACTCTGTTTCGTTTGTTTTTCCGCCTAGCCGGAGGACACGGAAAGTTTTTTCTCCCCGAAATTGTCACCTCATGCATAATTTATTGCAATCCAGAAGGTAAAAATTCATTTTTCTCTGTTTTGTCATTACAAAGTTTTGCGTTACAGGTTTTTTTCATTTTTTTGTCACGAGGTGGGTATTTTTACTAATTTGTTATTTAAAGTTTTTGTTTAAATTCCAATTCTATGCGCTGGAGAAGTATGTTTTTAATTTGCAAATTTTTGATTGTTTGCCAGGCACTCATTTCACTAATTATTTTAAGTTTACCCTTAGGGCACGTAAATTTTTGAACAATTAAAAGAATTTCAACGTGGCTTACCACATAGGGCTTCCACTAAAATTTGAGAATTAATTTATTGCTCCAGCTAAACCGCTCGAATTAATTTAATTCGCTTCTGTTCTAAGTCAAACTTTCCGTTTTCACGCCAGAAACTTTTCCCTCGCCCTTGCAAATTGCTTTCCAAAACAGAAGGCAGCCAACAATTTTCGCAACTTTATTTTTAGTTGTTTGTTTGGCTTTTGCGGGCCAACTGCTCGTGAAAAAATCAAGAATAATTCATAATTAAATATACTCTGTAAATTGTGCAACCTTTTTACTTTCAGCAATTTGATGCCATGTGCAAGGCTGAGGTGGCTTTCTTTATTGCTAGAGCCTTAATTAACGTGAGTAAATCAAATATTATTTATAAAATAATGTTACTAGAGTGAATGAAATAAAAACATAAGGGAAAACACCACTTTTATCATTATATTGCAATGCTATTTCCATATCGTAGAATGGGGTGTATGATTTGCGAATAGAGCATTAGCTTTTCTGGAGTCTCCTGTTTTAGGGCTATAGTAAATGCTTTCATGGACTGATTGACAAGCCAAATAATCAGCACATATACGATCAGATAAATTATGGTCCGTGTTTGTTGACCTTTCAAGCGACCCAATATGGTATTCATGGTTGAAGCTGCCAGTTTTAAAACAAATATAAATACATGGACCCATAGCCAAGGACACATGTGACGAGGTGATACCTGTAAAAATTTAAAAAGAGTTGATTATTTGTCTAAGAAAAAAGCATTGTTATTTACTACATATAAAATTAAATTAAATTTAAATGATAAGAGTTTTGAAACCTTCAACAAAAGTATCTTAAAGTGTGCTAAGAAAAAAAAAAAGTTATCTTAAAGCATTAATCCAACGATTTGAAATATATTGTAGAATAGATTTTTACTCTTTTTCAAGTGTTTGTTTTTTGTTTAAAATAAATATATTTCAAAATTTGTTTGTATACCACTTACATATAAAGCAGCATACAACAATGTTGCCCAAGAATTAATCTGTATAAAAGCCTTCACAATTCTTAGTCTTCTGATCATAAACGGCGGCAAAACGTAAAATCGATGGTTGTGCCATAAAGAGGTTCTACTCATTTCCTTGGTGAAGAATAACCGCCCGAAATTATAAAGACTGTGCATCTAGGAAGAAGTTGAAACAGTATTATAGTACTCTGTTGCTCAAATTTCATAACATACTGCTCCATATAGACTAAATACCAGGAGGTACCAATAGTAAATATGAAAGAAGGAAATATCGCAGCTGAAGAAATTTGCAACGCTACGATTGAAACCCCTCCATTGTCGAGACTCCAGAAAGCTAAATAACTCATTTTTATTCCGGCACGCATCTGCAATCACATCATATGATTTTCCCAAAGCACAAAGCCGATATTGAAATGGTATCAATCTGAACATGTTTCGATTTACGCAATACAAAAGCAGTTCGTGGAAAGTTATACTATAAACAAAAACGTTTCTCACACGAAATTTAAGAAATACATTGAAAGTCATGTCAGATTTTGAATACTTAAACTAAGCAATGGTGCTACCTAAAATGGGCATTTATTTATCCAATAGAGATATTGGCTAACACATCAGTCAATACCAATAGAGGCTAATTGCTTTTGCGCCCAGCTTACCCATGGCTTAATAAATACGTGTAATAAATAATTTAATTACTAGCTAAGTCCATTAGTACATTTACGCAGCATAAAAATGTTAGCCCATGTATCTATAGAAAAAATTACGAATGTGTGCGAATGTATCTGCAGAGTGGCATTCTATCTAATGGATATTTATGATACTCAATTTTTTGCTTTCCCTTTTGAACAGGTGCTGGCCATGTGGGGTGTCCTCCGCTTCTACAATTTGGTTCGCTCTGGAATTACATGGCGTGGACCAGAGGTAGGTCACTTAGTCATCGCAAAATAAACCTATGATTTATTTAGTCTAGGCCAGACAATAATTTTAGTTTGCGTTTAAGACAATTACATTTACAAATTGGGAAAGGGATAAAAACAACTGACTGAAACTCCTATTTTTGCAGCAACATTTTGTGTTTGAATTTAAAATAAAGAATTATACTCGTTTTCATAAAATTCCTTACCGATTTTAGTCTATTACTTTTATATCTTTGAACAGAGCGAGAAAGCTTAAAGTTACCGTTCTTAAAATCAATTTTACACTGTGCAATGCTTGTTTGTTGACCTGTGAATATAAAATTATACTGGCAATTCTATGTTTCTGAGTAGATAAATATTTTTTGTAATTGCTATAATTTTCTTGCTAAAAATGAAATGAAAGAATTAAATTTACTTCACTATATAGAAAAACCCAAGTAACTCTGTGTCACACATTTTTTCATACGTCTAGACATCATTTATTTTTATCTCACAGGATTGTGGTGCCAGCATTGGTCTATTATAGTTATTTATTTGCCTTTCAGTTAATTAACTTATTTCATTAAATAACAAGAAAGAAAGCAAACTTCGGCAAGCCGAAGTTCATATACCCTTGCAGCTATTGCATGAATTAAATACTTTTGAAAACATTTAAATTATGATTTACTTGAGTATATACTGAAAAACAGTGAAGCTATGATGATTTGCAGCTCAATTATTAGATAGTTATTTTATATATTTTTATTAGTTCTATGGGAGCTATATGATATAGACGTCCGATTTTGATAAAATTTAAACCATAATTCTGAAATAATTAAACATATGTCGAAGAACTAAACAAAAAATTAAAAAACAGAAAAGTTATAATTTTTTTCATTTATTTCTCCGATTGTTCCTATGGGACCTATATGATATAGTCGTCCGACTTTGATGAAATTTAAACCGTAAATCGAAAATATTTAACCATTACTAAATGTCGAAGAACTAAACGAAAAATTAAAAAACAGCAAAGTTATAATTTTTTTTCATTTATTTTTCCGATTGTTCCTATGGGAGCTATATGCTATAGTCGTCCGATTTTGATGAAATTTAAACCTTAAATCGGAAATATTTAACCATTACTAAATGTCGAAGAACTAAACAAAAAATTAAAAAACAGCAAAGTTATAATTTTTTTTCATTTATTTTTCCGATTGTTCCTATGGGAGCTATATGCTATAGTCGTCCGATCCGGCTCGTTCCGACTTATATATTACCTGCAATAGAAAGACAGCTTTTGGGAAAGTTTCATGCAGATAGCTTTAAAGCTGAGAGACTAGTTTGCATATAAACGGACGGACAGACGGACAGACGGACAGACGGACAGACGGACAGACGGACGGACAGACGGACATGGCTAGATCGACTCGCCTAGTGATGCTGATCAAGAATATATATACTTTATAGGGTCGGAGATGTCTCCTTCACTGCGTTGCAAACTTCTGACTGAAATTATAATACCCTCTGCAAGGGTATAATAAGGGTATTTAGTATATCAATGAACATAATTAATATGGGTATTAAGCATATCAATGACCTTTACTAATTAATCATCTTACTTTTGTTAATATTCTCCTGTGTCCTTAGGCCAAGACCGCCATTTTTGCGCCCATGTATAAGAGTGTTAGTACGAACAAGCCGCACACATACACGTACAGCAAGCGGTCAAGACGTCGCCATAGCATTGAGGCCACTTCCGGCGGATGCTGCGCCATCTTCGATTTCGACTTTGAGTATGACGAAGATAACGATGATGATGACGACGACGATGAGGCGGCCTACGGTTTGGATACGGAGGATGAGGTGGGCTATGATTACGATGACTACTACGATTACTACGACGATGATGAGCTGGCGGAACAGCAGCATTTGGGACTGCAGCAGGACGATGCGGATTGCAGTATGTTGGGGGCCAGCAAGGCCAGCAGATCGCGATCCAAGCCGCGAGCCGCTGTGGTCAAGGTCAAGGGTCAGCGGAGCGGAGGTCGCCGCACCAACAACAACATTCGCAGTGTGCTGATCAACAAGCGGCACAACAAGTACAAAATTGCCCGGCCGCAAACCCAACTGGAGGTCATCAATGAATCCGAGAAGAGTGCGGGGAGCGGCAGCGATGAGAACGATTCCCTTTTGGTGGCCTATGACAGCAGTTCGTCGCTGGCGTCGGTTTGACATTGGCCGCCATGTAAATCGGGAACCGGAAATGGAAATGCAGCCATTGGGGGAGGTGATAGAAATGTCGGGGGAAAGTGCCATTGCAGTGAAAACAGAGGAAGCGGAAGTGAGACCGACGACGACGATGACGACGTCGACGTCGACGATTCTGACCAGGGCCAGCATCTGGAGCCTGGGCGGTCGAAGGGTGGTGGCCAATGTTGTGGTCAGCCACGCCGACGTCCACTGCGACGCGTCTACTGCGCTGTGAATCTGTCCATAATGGGAATTCTGGTGGCCGTCGAGATATACGCTCAGATCGCCATATTCCTGTAGATCTTCCTGGAATAAAAAGTGTTCTTCCAAGGCCATTCGATCTCATAATTTCATTCCAAAGATCAAAAATAAAAACATACCCATTAAATGCCAGCAGAGATTACAGCTTTAAATGTAAATAGTAACATTTCAAAACCAACCAAACTTTAGATTCTACAATTAGCTTACATTACTCAAATCGCCACTTCAAAAATATTTTTAACATTTATCTGTCTAATGGTTTTTAATATGTGGTTTCTTGAAATATATACTATGATTTGAATTATCCTATGTTTCAAAATTTAAATAGCTGAAAATTTATTTATTTTTAAATTTGTTTTAGATGTTAAAAGTCTTAACATAAAAAAGTCCTTATGTAAATACTTTAACCAAAATGTCAAAGCTATCAATAATTTCAATACTATTAGGAACAATAATAGAAATAATTCTAAGTGTTTGCAAAATATTAATAGGAAATTACCCAACCAGATAAGAAATAGAAGAGGTCTCCAAGAGATGAAATAGCAACTTTTATGTTAATAAAAAACAAATAGTCTCCTGAGTCAAGGTAATAGATAATTGACACTTTATTGCAAAGCCCAAATGAAAGCTTTAATATAATTTAATGAAATAAATCGCATGTCTATCCAAAACAAATAAAAAAGCCCAAGCAAAAGTAACAGAAACAATAAAAATAAAATTGATAAAACCAAAAGTTAAACAATAAAAGTTTAAATGCTTAGGAAATGACGCTGCAAATACTTTCAGCTATCTCAAGTTGAGGTCGGTGACGTACAAAAAAGTAAGCAAAATAAAAACCATATCTATAAATGTTGTATATAAAGTAAGTAATCTTAAGTACAGTTGCGCCAAAAAAAAACCACTAGACAGCCAGTTTAAAACTAACCAATAAATGTGAGTTGATGTATACCTTACGATAAATCAATAATAAATACTTGATATTTGTGAAAGAAAAACCCAGCTTGTTTTATTGAGTGATAACCAAACGTGCTGGGCACGTGAAGAAAGAAAGAAGCTCCATCCGGATCTCAAGTACTCATTTAATTTGGCCCCCAACACTTCGGGAATCGGTCTAATCGCGAGGGCCAAAACTAATTAAATGATAATACCGGCTTTGAACAGGAAGCCCCCGAATCTGGGGGCACGTGAAGCAATCAAAGCATCAGCAAGTACCCGATATCAACCCGTAAACACCGCCGCAATCAAGCGAATCTAATCAATCATCAAGCGGCCAGTTGGTTTAAAAGCACCAGCGCCATTCGTTGGCCAAATCAGTTGCGAAACATGAAGGGTCTAGTGTTGATTGCCTTGAGTGGCCTCATCTTGGTCAGTGCCCAGGCCAGGATCCTGCCGAAGGAGGACTCCCTCTGGGAGTTGCCCGAAGTTCCAGAGGTGGTTAATGCCATCGAACCCAAAGCAGGTGAGCTAAAAATATAATAGGTATCATATAATATCCCTTTAACACCTTTTAATGGTTATTCCCTACAATTTGTTTTAAATGTATCTTTAATAATATGAGCTTTAATATTAATCATAAACGTTTTAACATTAAACCAATTTTAATAGTTAAAGAAATTAATTATTAATGTGTTTTTAATACAATTTAGAGCAGTACTGCCTTGACTATTTTTTTAAAGCATTGATTTAAACCTAAATTTTTATAACTACGTAACATGGTTTAATGTATTGCGATTTTAAAGATCAGCTGAAACGAAATAGTAGTGAATTGATTGTAGTATTTTCAATTAAATATTTAAAATCAAATCTTATTTTCTAACCTCTCCCCATTTTAGCTGGCTGCTCCATTAAGATCCGCAGCTCGGAGCTGAAGGATCCCCAGCCGCTGCTGATCAAGTCGGGAACTTCTGAGATCGTGGGCTTCTCGGACACCGGATACGTGGATGTGGCCAAGGACAAGACCATTGAGTTCCACTGCACCAGCAGTTTGGCCTCGCCGCTGTCTGGAAAATACGTGACCGCCAAGTGTGTGGGTGGCACCACCTTCAGTATCGACAATAAGGAGCACGATCTGTCCGCCATCAAGTGCACATCGTGGCCAGCTTTTGTGGGCAAGAAGTCGGGATCCAAATGCAATGGTGGCACCACTCTGATCAAGGTGGGCTTTGAGCTGTCCGGTTCTCGATTTGCCACTCAGTACGAGGTGTGCTTCAATGAGGACGAGGAGGTGACCCGGTATGTGTACCATCGTCTGGAGCCGGGAAACAACTTCTATGCCACTGGAGTGGATCGTATTACCTTCGGTGCTGGCGGTTATTTTGCGGGCAAAAATGTGGACAAACTATACACGCAGGCGGTGCAAAAGGAGACCATCGACAAGGAGCTGGATATGGATTCGGCCAAGTATTTCGACTCGGCAAAGAATGTGTTCTTGGCCCGTGGTCACATGGGTGCCAAGGCTGATTTCGTGTTTGCCCCCGAGCAGCGGGCCACCTTCCTGTTCATCAACGCGGCTCCCCAGTGGCAGACCTTCAACGCTGGCAACTGGGCCCGTGTGGAGGACGGAGTTCGTGCCTGGGTGGCCAAGGAGAAGAAGCACGTGGAGTGCTGGACGGGCGTCTGGGGCGTGACCACTTTGGCTAACAAAAATGGAGAGCAGAGGCAGCTGTATCTGTCGCACGATAGCAACGGCAATGGCCTGATCCCAGTGCCCAAGCTCTACTTCCGAGTGGTCATCGAACCCACCACCAAGAAGGGCATCGTTCTGATCGGCGTGAACAATCCGCACTTGAGTCTGGCGGAGATCAAGCGGGACTACATCCTCTGCACGGACGTCAGCGACAAAATCAACTGGATCAGCTGGAAGAAGACGGACATCACCGCCGGCTACTCCTATGCCTGCGAAGTGCCCGAGTTCCGCAAGAAGGTGGACCACCTGCCCCAGTTCTCTGTCAGCGGTTTGCTCGTCTAAGTTTCTTTCTGAATCAATAAATATATCGTTAAATTTTTAAACTTTGTGGCACTTAATTTAACAATTTTAAATGGGAGGATTATTTTGCTATAAAGATGGTATGGGGAGTGTTACAGAATACAAGCTATTTTTTGTTAATTTATTAATTTTAGTTATTTTATTTCTTTGATATCCTAGCACTACAAGTAAAACTTATTATTAGATGTGCTAGTCACGAAAAATTACAATATTTTATCAATTTTATTTTAAAACTACAATCCTATTGTGAATAAAAAAATACAAATTGAGATAAAATATTCAAATTTTTATTGACTAACGCAGTTATAGCGTTAAGATAAAACATTTTATAATAAATAAATAAATTGTACAGTAAAAAAGAACTTGATCAAATTAAACAAATGCTGCTTATCTTAAAAGACTTATTATTTACCAAACAAATGACTTTAAATTAATATTATCCCATAACAAATAAACATTTTTTTGTATTTAATGAAGAAACACAATAAATGAGTTACCTGTCAAATTTTTAGTAAATCTCTCTGATGTTACTAGTAAAACATAAAGTATCCAGGAAATTTTGCAGTTTCCTGCTGTTTCTCCTGTTGCTCCTGCCCTCCTGCTATTCTGGCAGTCCGATGGGGGGTCACTTCATTCGTCGGCGGACAAAACGCCTCTCAAGTCCCTTTTTCGACGAGGAGAAAACCTTGAGACTAGCCAAGTACATTGTCTCCATTCGATCTCGAACGCCCCGCAAATTTTTCGGAGATAATCACTTTTGCGGCGGAGTCATAGTATCGCAAAAATACATCCTGACCGCCGCCCACTGTGCCATGGAGTAGGTATAGAAATGATTATATTTATTTATAACTGGCATTTTTTGTAATCAACCAATTAAAAAAGCAAGCGCAAGATTATACACCGAAGTCGAGTATTGGTAGTAGCTGGATCCCCAAATCGCTTGAAATACCAAGATGGAATCACCGCGAGTGTGCCAGTGAAGAAGATCTTTGTACCGGAGAAGTTCACGGTGTTCAATACGCACAACATTGCGCTGATGATGTTGGCCAAGAAACTGCCCTTAGACAATCCGCAAGTGGGCGTGATCAATCTGCCCACGACCGATCCGGAGCCGGGTCTCAACTACACGGTCCTGGGCTGGGGACGGGTCTTTAAAGTAAGTTGTGGTTATCCCAAGATAAAAACAAATAGATAAAGAGTGTTTTCAGGGCGGTCCCATGGCCTCTAATATCCTGCATATTGATGTGGAACTTCTAGCCCGCGAGATCTGTGAGAAGAAACTTCACACTTTTAAGGAGGAGATGCTGTGTGCTGGTAATCTAAACAACAGCCTGGATGAGAATCCCTGTGCCGGTGACACCGGAGCCCCACTAATCCACAACGAAACAGTCTTTGGGGTGGTCAGCTATCGCCTTGGATGCGGATCCACAACCTTGCCATCGGTTTACACCAATGTCTACCTCCATTTGGACTGGATCAATGAAATAATGGCCAAAAATGCAGGGAAACACTTGAAACATACTCTTAGCTTAATCCTCATAGGTATGGTAGTCGTGAGAAATACAATTCTGAACAGTTGGCGGCTTTATTTGATCACCATTTAGACGAGGAGACCTCCCTTGGCGGTCAGAGCGGGCAAATGCTTGACGGTCTTGAGGAAATCGGCCACCTCACAGGCATACGACCAGCCAGCCTTGATGTCTGTGGTCTTCCAGTTGATGTAGGTCACCTGATCGCTGACATCCGTGCAGATGATGTAGTCCCGCTTGATCTGCTCCACGCTCAAATGCGGATTGTTGACGCCCACGAAGACGATGCCCTTGTGGGATGTGGGCTCGATGACCACGCGGAAGTAGAGCTTGGGCACTGGGATGAGGCCGTTGTTGTTGCCATCCTTGGCCAGATACAGTGGCGTCTCCACACCCTGCTTGTTGGGCAGCGTGGTCACACCATACACACCAGTATAGCAGTTCACATTCAGCTTGTTCTTGGACACCCAAGCCCTTAGGCCATCCTCAACTCGTGCCCAATTGCCGGCATTGAAGGTCTGCCACTGGGGAGCAGCATTGATGAACAGGAAGGTGGCCCTCTGCTCGGGGGCATAGTCAAAGTCAGCCTTGGCTCCCAGATGACCACGGGCCAGGTAAACATTGCTGGCACTATCGAAGTACTTGTCCGCATCGCCGCCCAAATCGTTGTTGATCGTCTCCAGCTGAGTGGCCTGCGTGTACAGCTTGTCCACATTCTTGCCATTGAAATAGCCAGCCGTTTGGAAGGTAATCCTGGCCACACCCGTCTCATAGTAGTTGCTGCCTGGTTCCAGCGTGTGACGAGTGTAGCGGGTCACCTCCTCCTCCTCGTTAAAGCAAATCCGCATTTGCTCGGCAAATCTCGAGGAAGTAATCTCGAATCCCACGCGAATCACAACACCACCATTGCACGTGGCTCCCGATTTAATCGCCTTGAATCCCGGCCAGGATTTGCAGTACAGATCCTTGAACTCAAACTGAGATCCGCCCACGCTGAAGGTCGATCCACTCACACAACTGGCGGTAATCAGGTTCTCGGAGTGGGTGTTGAAACCAGAAGGACACCACAGCTGCAAGGAGCCACCCGACGCGAATTCCATCACACCAACGTCGGAGAAGGGATAGAAGTCCTCGGAATCGGTCTTCAGGTAGACGGGCTGGGGACTGGGCAGACCTCCGCGAATAGTCACACTGCAGGCTGTGAAAGAATTTAAACATGAAAAATTGGGTTCAATTTCTGATTATGCCTCTGAAATATACCTCCAGTAAATCATCTCCATAATACATTATATTTAAGTATAAAACCTTTTAGGCAGCCTCTTATTTAGCCAAACCTATATATTCGCAAAAGAGTTTTTTTTAAATTTAAATCATCTACCTAAAATTAATATTTAATTATGAAAGTCTTTTAAAGTCTTTTTACATCCATATACTAGGGCTTATTATTATTAAAAAATGTTAATGTGGCGATCATTTCTAAGCCACCTACCTCCTGCACGACCCACGGGCTGGGGAGCCATAACGATCCGCTCGAAGATCTCATCCTCCTGGACAATTGGAGGAAGCTCCACCTCCGGATAGGGAACTCGGGCCCAGGCAGCCGGAGCCACCAGTAGACCAATCACCAGCAATGAGAGTCGGTCGCACTTCATTTTACTTTTAACAACCTGAAGGCTCTTGAGGCATCTTTAAATAGTCTCCGGCCATATCGCGAAAATTAATGAAAAATAGTTAATAAAATCGGAATCTCGCCATTCCGGTCATTATCTCTGTTGGAACAATAAAATATTGGTGTTATCTATTTACGTGGAGTGCCGAAGTGTGCGGATTTTTGTGTGTCGTCTTACGTAGACTCATTCATTCGATCTTAATTGGTTCGAGGCACTTAATGTCGATTACTTTGTGGACGAGTGGGAAATATAAGGGAATTACCCAAACAAAGCAGATAATTTTCTAAACAAAAATAGAAAGTGGTTGTAACACGTTTAGTTCAAGGGCTTATCTTTGGCGCACTTTTGGTATTACTTTCATATCTCAACCGTGGATTTGTAATAGATCAAATGGTATTTTTAGATTTTTGGCTAAGATAATAACGTTTAAAAATATATTGCAAAATTACTTGTGTCTTCCTTTTGAAATATACAAAATACACTAAAACTTTTTTACATACTTGAAACGAAAAAAATACGTATAAGTAATAAATTACGTATACGCAAGGTGTTGTACTTTCTTTAATATATATATTTAATATAAGAAAAAACTTCAAGAACCCTAAATATGTCGAGTTTTGTAGAACTTTATTTAATATTGTAGTTATATTTCTTATTTCCAATTTAAATTGTTTAAGTAATGTTTTCATTAAGATAAGATTAAGATAAAATACTGTATATCTGCTATAAAATGTTTTAAATGTCCTTTTGCTTTCTTTTACAAAACCGAATACTAATTGCGACAAGAAAATTATATAATACGAAAATAATCCCCACTAATCAAAACTTATTTAAGTTTTCCCATTCAAACGACTACTGAATGAGCCAGGCAGACAATCTGCCATCTAATTTAGTTATTTAATCAGCAGTCAAGGTGAGTGGTTTCCCCAGGCTCTCCCTTCACTTGGCAATAATTTATAATCAACAAGTAATTAAGGCTTATGGCCGCTGCAGGATTCAAATTTCTGGTGGCGATTGGAATTTTATAGGCCTTCCAGGGAAACCATAATAATGAGAACGTGTGTATAAGAATGTAGGGAGTGTGGAGTAAAAGTTCTACCGAACGACCCATAAAAAAAGTGGTCGTTAATCATTATGTGGCGCCATCTAGCGTCGGTCCCTCGCCCTCTGAGGTCATTTATCTATATCGAATCAATTAGCGAACACCTTGAAGCTTTCTTTGCTGAAAATGCAAGGGGGTGAAAGTGGAGGAAAAAGGCATGGCAACACCTTTCTCCCTTTGCTCGAGTTTTCCTTTTCGTCCTTGCTACGTGCCAATTTGGCTCGTTTTGTTCGCTCATTCGTAAATCTAAACAAATCATCAATTTTCACAAATTATACGCGATACCCATCTGTGCTGGGCGGGGTTCGAGTTCCTCCGTATCCGTCGAAGCAACCGTATCCGGCTAAGGTCCTTGTCCTTGTCGTCCTCGTCCTTGGGCTTTGAAATTCGGGCCTAATTGCCCGACTATCTGCCTTCGCTGCTTTTCCTGCTTTTCCTGTTTTTTCTGATATTCGCCGCTGTTCATTTTACATTCCATTAATTAATCTCAATGGCCGACGAACTTTGACATATTGAGCTCTAGTTTATATGCTTCGCGCTGTCTCCAAGCGGGGATTTCGTGGGTTAGCCTAATGAAGCATTCGAAGTAAGATAAGTATTTGGTTGATTCAAATGTGAGGCAATAAAAGAATATGCTTTTAAATTTGGTACATCAAGATGTTGCAAAAAGAGGGTAAAAACATTTTTAAAAGTATTGGAACGCTAAAAAGAATGAAACTATATTTCTAACTTGTAGGAAAATTAAATTATATATACAGAACATAAAATTAATAATCCAAAATATTTATTATTCTTCGTTTTATTTGCCATTTGGAAATCAAAATCGGAATCTCTTTGATCAATTGGCTGAGAATGCTTTCCGAATCGAACACATTCCTTAGAGCCTCCGTATAGATTTATCTTAATTTCCTCACGTCATAAATTATCCCGCCAAATTTATGAGTTTCCAATCAATATTAATTGCCTGTGAGATACTTTACAGCCCATTTCATTAGCCACCTGCCGCCCGGTGAAAGCATTTTACTTAAATCGCTCTTACCACACTCACGATTTCATCGCACGACAAACAAGCATAAGAAATACTTAAATAAAAATGGAAAAAAAGCAAGAAGGAAAGGCACACAATTTAATCCGAATTTTACTTGATCTGGCACATAGCATTGAGGAGCTTCGCATTCGCACCAATCGAGGGTCGCAGCCCTTGATAAATGGCCCTTATTAATAACATACGTGTGGGCGCGTCCTGTATCTCCGTGGGTGTGTTCGATCCATATACTGAGATACAGATACCTTTGATTGATAAGGCTGCCTAAGCGTGTTTGCCCAACAGGGAAAGGGGGCCAAAGGTAAACGAGGACGAGCTAACGAATGAATGAGCGATTTTGCACCTTTTCAACAGGTCTCTCTTCCTCGGCACTCTTATGTTGAGGCAAATTGAAAACGGGGAGTCAATAAAGCTGTAGACAGTCAGACATGGCCAAGGGCTAGGCCGGGATCCTTTGAACGGGTATATTTGCGTTAGGGTGGACTAAGATTTATGCACTGCGTAAAATGCTATGCAAAACATTTTGAAAACTTAAAGCCAAGTTTCAAAAAGATAATGCTACTAATACAATTATTTCCAGGCTAAATGCCTATTTAGTATATAAACTTTGCTTTCTCAAACAATGCTTTGCCCCGTCCAAAAGACGTATACGTAATATTTATGAAGGCAAAATGGTTCACCCTAATATAGATCCAACATGTTCGACTGTGCAATGATGGATTAAATGTATTTCAAAGGCGTGAAAGCCAAAAGGTAGCAGAAAGTAGCACATTGTGGTTGCATAATAAACATCATGCATACATCTATTTAGCTTAGCCTAGGGCTACAAAAATACAACACAAAAATAATAGAGCCCAACAGAGGTGGAAAGGTTGTAAAGGCTTCTATAAATACACACCCTAATTGTCAAAGGCCTTTTGCTCCATATGCAAATCACACACGAATCAGTCAAGCGAAAGATCTTCGATAATTGCAAGGTCTTCAAAGGATAAACCCTTCGACAAGGAACACAATCTACATGGAAAATAGGTCACCGCCCCAAAATACAAATTTGCATTATTTTAAGCTCAACAAAGCCGACAAACAGCAATTTGGAGTGGCTGATGAAAGGAAGAAACTACCTCCACTTAAAGAGCAATCATAAAGTTTTTCATCCCATATGGATTACATAAGTACAAGCACGGATGGGTGCGAAAAAATTCTGCAATGTAAGTGTAAGTAATAAAAAATCAACTGACCCAGCGAAAACACAGCGTGAAAATTATAAAAATAGTTGAACATGACAGGCGCACGTCCAAAAGCATGAGCGAAATGATTAATGAACTGCCGCCATCTAACTTCGCCCATTTACTCACAAAGTAAAGTACTAAAAGTGGTTAAAGTGTTAGAGCTAAAGAGCAAAGAAAAAGCATGACATTTAAAAAAAAATTTACAAAACGTAACGTGCTAAAAACTATATAAGAACTACTTAAAAACTAGAAGCTGATTCATGGTTAATGGAAATTTTAGACAAAGAATTAAAAGTTTGAATGGAATATTTAAGAACAGGTTTGTGACTTGTGATTTTATTGACTTTTTTTAAAAACAAGTATTTTAGTTCTTAAATTTTCAGTATTCTAGGTAGGCTGGTAGTTGACACTATTGGACTGTAAAACTTAAAATTCAGGCACATTTGTATTTCAAAATTCAGGTTTCGGCCCTTGCAAAAAGTAATGTTTCCATTTAACAAAAGGAGCATACAAATATTAAAATATATATACCCACGATGTCCAGTAAACTCTAAATTTTCCCAGCGTTTTATGTCCAAGTCTGGAGATAAAAAATCTTCTGGAACAGGAAATAAAGGTTAATGGCTTAGCTTATATGTTTTTATATATAGTAAAAGATGTCATATTTAATAGAAACAACGAGTAAGGAGGGTAAAGATGCCAAATCGTCTGAACCAGCTAAAAAAGGTTGTTATTTTATTAATGTAAAAGTAATATTAAAGATTACTTCTTTATAGATACAACCCCTAAAGAAAATAATGTGATTAAAGACACCAAGCCAAAGGATGAGACTGCTATAAAAGGCGGGACCAAATGCAAGCCGACTATAAACCCTGTTAAACCAATGGATAAAAGTAAAAAAAAACTACAAACATGTGATGAATTGTTACTGGGCAAACCCAAGAAAAAGAAGGCAAAACTAGCTTTAACTGCAATTCAAGGAGGAGACTTGGGATGCCCAGCCGTAACCGAAAAAAAACCACGTCTGTATTATTTTCTAATAATTTGGTTCATAAAACTAAACTTATTTTTATCTAGCAATCACTGGACATTCCAAGCTATGGCAAAAGATCTCATTATTCGGAGTCCTACCCCTAATAGCCATTTTAACTCTCTTAGTTTTTAGTTCTCGGGCCGAAGAGGAACGCCTTGAGTTTAAGAACTATCCCCATATGTACAAACGATCAAAGCCGTTTTGGTTTCGCGATGGAAATCGCACAGCTTTTCACAACAGCTACTTCAATGCTTTGCCACCTGGAGGATATGAGGACGAAATTGATGAGAGCACTGTTGGACAGGACCCCGAATCGGAAAAGGATAAAAAAGCTCGCCTAAAGGAATTCGAAAAAGTCGTCAAAAATTGGCGCAAACATTCGTCTAAAAGAGACAACCAGCTTAAAAAGGAGGCTGCCGCTGCTGAAAAAGAGTCTAGAAAACAAGAAGCGCAATAAGCACAGGTACAATTTGGTTAGGATTCATGGCAAAAAATATACAATGTCAAAGAATATTTAAAATAAACTGCACAATTTTGATTAAAAAAGTAAGTTTAATTGTCGTATGAAACAATTTTTAAGCCAGTAATTATCTTACTGTTTGTTTAGTTCACTAAAAATATTTCTGAAAAACTATACTGTTTTAGCATTTTTGATAATATTTATAGTTTTTAATATTAATTCTTAACCTTCGGTTACTTTTTTTTAAAGACCATAATTATGGTTTCATAATATATATTTGCCGGGCTTTCTTTTTATTTCATTTCGCTGTTATATTTTCAAAGTTTTTAGACCCAATTACTTGGTTAATCTAAAATTCAGTTACCCTCATCTCAATTTCTTCCATCCTTAATTGATTCGGAAAATGTTTTCGAAGTGGAAAATCTTTTCCTTTTTTGTTTGGGCGGATGAATGATTACCCTAACCAAATGAGAGGAAAATGGGGGATGGAAGGTCTTGGGTGAATCTTGATTTGTCCTTAGCATGTCTCGCCACTTGCCAAATCTGTGTGATAATCTGGTGTTGCAATCAGCGCCATATATATTGCGTGCCACAAATGGCAGCCACTTTGTGCGGCCTTCCTTTCCGGCCTTTTCGCTTCCCTTTCCGCATTTCGGCCATTTGTTTTTCCTGTTGTTTTTCCTCTAATGGCTTTCCTTTTTTGCCACGCTACGCTTCAATAACTTTTATCACTTTTAATTGGATTTTTCTTTATAGTCAACGCATGTCTAAGAAGACTAACACATGTTCAGATTGTAATTGTGTTAATGTCGTCGTGTATGGGCATGTCCTGCTTCCTTATATTCGTTGTTGTTGTCCTGTGACATCGTGCTAATACCAGTTTTTCCAACCAATGCATGTGTGTATATATCCGCTCCATGCTTGATCAAATTTGCCTATTTTTTCTGTCTTATTTTTCTTTCAATTTTCTTAATTGCTTCTTAATGCTTATGTCTTCAGGCCAAATCTTGGCTTTCTTTCTGATTTTATTCAGCTTATTCGAAGTTTCCTTTAAAAGTTTGATAAAGATTTAGCATGCAGGAATAATGTTTTTTTCAGCAACACGGTTTTTGTATAACTATGTCAAGAAATAAAGATTAAAAAATAAGTATTGAAAATTAAAATTAAAAAATATAGAGTAACAACTTTAAAGTATATTTTTAGTATTGCTTATTTTTACTTAGATATAAATATTTATAGTCACTTTAAGAACAAGCAAGCACTAAGTATACTTTTTACCGTTTATACCATAAATATTTTAGATTGCTTACTTAAAACTTTAGTTCTTTATGAGATACACAAATATTAATCAGACTTATTACAGGGAAAATACAAACGAAAGTAATAGATTCACAGATTTAAGCAAGTAAACAGTGCCAGAAAGTGCCCCAAAGATAAACTTTCCCATTTCTTTTGCCAAAAAGCTACGTACAACTTTAGTGCTTATCCGCCGAATGCCAAACCAAGTCCTGAAAGTCGAAGAAACTTTTTCCGTTCCGGTTGTCGTTGACACGTAATTGACTTTGTCCGCACTTCCACGACGACAATTTGTGCGCCACTTGCTCGGAGCAATTAAACGCCATCGATGACCAATTGCAGTTGTCGCGAAATTGCTGGCGAAGATTGCCCAACGTAATGATGGCAGATGGGTTGAGCGGACCCAAAGGACCCTGGGGACCCAAAGGGTTGGCCATACCGTGCAGTGGAGTGTAATCAATGCATAATTTTAATGCAATTCTTGAATGCAATTACCGGCGAATGTACTTTGGCTATAAAAGCCACCGACACTGACCATCGAAAAAGTACATCGGGGGAAATGCAAAAGCGACAAGACGACAGCAACTCGTTAATATTCGGAGTGATAAAAGTTCGACCTCTCCACCGGCTGCCCCTGCTATTTTTCCTGGTTGTCAGTGCTGCGATGGGGCCACGTGTCGGTGGCAGCTGGCGGAGCGAGGATTCCCCGGGGGATCCGGACTCGAAAACACGGTGGGGCAATCAGTTGCCGGATATGCTAGTCGCTTACTATCGCCACCACGGCGTTCAAAGCCTGATGCTGGTCGTTTGTCACACGGACATTGGTGAATTAACCCTCTGCATGCAATGTGCTACTAGGGCCAAAATTTATGACCCGTCAATGCACAGGCAGAAATCTTTAAAGATTAAGAACCATATTTCAAGGCGAATCGAACCCTTGCACTATATTTATCTCTATCGGCAATTATCTGATATTTACTCAATATAAAAACAAGACTTTATAAATTTGATATAAAACAATTTAGTAGTTTTATATTTCCCTATACTTAGAAAACATACATTTTTGAAATCTGAACAAAAATGAACAAAACCAAAAACTAATCTTTCGCCCAGTAAAAAACTTAAATACTTCTGGAAAACCTTTACAAACATTCCCACAGTCTAAAAATTTAAAAGCAAAATTAATAAAACTAAAAAAATTCATTTTTTTCCCTGTATATCTGTGTTGTTTCCCCTTCAGCGGATTATCGCCTTTGGACGCTGTGGCAGCACTTCAACCTCAACGATTTCTATGTGCAGGTCAGTACGGCGACCTCGCTAAGGGACCTGCGGCATGTCGATGTCCTGGATGAGCAGAAGGACGCACCGCCGCCAAAGGGTTTCCATGCCAACAACTCCAGCCACTGGGAGACGTCCTTTCTGCTGCCCCTGTTGCCCTATAAAACGGGCATCCTTCTGCTGGAATTCAACAGCGATTGTGCATTAAATCTACTTCGGTGGTCAGCTGCACCGGAGCACAACTACTTTACCACAAATCGATTTTGGCTGCTCCTTAGCGAAGATCGGTCAGATATCGATCTACTAGAGGATCCAGAGATATTTATTCCTCCGGACAGTGAATTAAGGGTGCTCCACTATGAAAATGATGACGGAAACTTTTCATCCAGCTTGATCGATCTGTACAAGGTGGCTGCTTGGAAGCCCTTAAAGATAAAGTTAATCGGACACAACATTCGAAATAGGAGGCACATAGTCCACGCACTGCAGCATTTTGGATCGGCCATAACATATAGGCAAAATCTCGAGGGAATAGTTTTCAACTCGGCTATAGTTATTGCCTTTCCCGATTTGTTTACAAACATTGAAGATCTATCACTTAGACATATTGACACTATTTCTAAGGTTAATCATCGCTTGATGCTGGAGTTGGCCAATCGCTTGAACATAAGGTTAGATCAGATTACTTTCTCTTTGCTTGCATCTTAATGTTGTTAAAAAACATTAGAAAATTTATTTATTCCAATTAGCACTCTTAATTTGGTACATTTTTTTTATTACTCAAGCTTTTCGCGCAATTAACTTATTGGGTTGTTTAACCTAAACTTGAAAGCAGTTTCTATTTTAACCATTAAAAGATTGTTAAAACATTATTTTGAATGGTTCACAAAAATTAAAATTTTTAATTTATAATACCTTGTAGAAAGGGTATTTTATTTATTGCATACCAATTTTAAAGAAAAGGTATTTTATTTTATTGATTTTTATATGTATATTGGCCTTATGCATACTTATAAGATGGCTTTCAATGTCCTATATTCTTTATTTGTATTAAGTTTAGTTTATTATTCTTTGTTTAATGATAATTTTTTTGAAACAGATTTACCTCTGATTTGGCTTGAATGATTCTATTTAATATTTGATATATATCTAACATTTTATTGTTAAAGAAATATCATATCCTACTTTCAGCTACAACACTTATCAAACCGTCAACTATGGTTGGCGTCAGCCGAATGGATCCTTCGATGGTCTGATGGGTCGCTTTCAGCGGTACGAACTGGACTTGGCCCAACTGGCGATCTTCATGAGACTGGATCGCATTGCTTTGGTTGACTTTGTGGCCGAAACGTATCGGGTGAGAGCTGGGATTATGTTCCGGCAGCCACCACTTTCGGCAGTGGCCAATATATTCGCCATGCCCTTTGAGAACGATGTGTGGGTTTCGATTCTCATGCTGCTGATCATAACGACCGTGGTTTTGGTTATAGAACTGCTCTTTTCGCCACACACCCATGACATGGCCTACATGGATACCCTGAATTTTGTGTGGGGCGCAATGTGCCAGCAGGGATTCTATGTGGAGGTGCGCAATCGATCGGCCAGGATCATTGTCTTCACCACTTTCGTAGCCGCTCTCTTCTTGTTCACCTCTTTTTCGGCTAATATCGTGGCTCTGCTGCAAAGTCCATCGGATGCCATTCGTTCGTTGACTGATCTTGGTCAATCTCCTCTGGAAATCGGTGTTCAGGATACCCAATACAATAAGATATACTTCACAGAGTCGACAGATCCAGTGACCAAGAATCTGTACCACAAGAAGATAGCCTCCAAGGGAGATAATGTCTATGTTCGGCCGATTTTAGGAATGGAAAGAATGCGCACAGGGTTATTTGCCTACCAGGTGGAATTGCAAGCTGGCTACCAAATCGTCAGCGACACCTTCAGTGAGCCAGAAAAGTGTGGACTGATGGAACTTGAGCCATTCCAGTTGCCCATGCTGGCCATTCCGACGAGGAAGAACTTTCCCTACAAGGAGCTCATACGAAGGCAGTAAGAATCTTTACTAAAATTACTTTTTTTAAATGCTTAATGTCCTTAAACAATTTAAAAGTTCAATTAATTTATAATTGTTACCTAACAAATTAGTTTTAATAATTTCGAAATCCTTATAATTTGTTTAAAACAGAAAAGTTTAAACTCAGATAAAATCTTAAAATACTTAAATTTCCTACCCAGATTACGCTGGCAGCGAGAAGTGAGCTTGGTGAATCGCGAGGAGCGAAAGTGGATCCCCCAGAAGCCCAAGTGCGAGGGTGGAGTGGGTGGCTTTGTCTCCATAGGCATCACCGAGTGCCGATATGCTTTGGGAATCTTTGGCTGTGGAGCTGCCGCCAGCTTGGGCCTGTTCCTGTGCGAATTCATCTTCAAGCACTTTAAGCAATTCTATCGCATCGTTAAAGGATATAGAGAGATGCAGCGCTAGACTACATGTCGTTTAATCAAAATAAACTTAAGCTTAGGTGGGTATGGATAGCTCCCGGACAACGGCACGCAGCACTTCAGGGGTTTTGAACTGCCAGTTCTGGATGTTTTTGCTGACTCGACACCAGGATTCGCCGTGCGTGGGCTCTGCGGAAATACAACGATCGACGACCTCCTGCTGCTGTTGCTCTGTGCCGTGCAGCAACTCGAACTTGTAGAAATACGCCCAGGCATCGCCCAAATCAGGATCGATTTTGACCTGTAATAAATAAAAGATTAGCTCAATTCAAAAGTTAATATAATATACTAACCGTTCGATTAAACCAATCCCTGCACTTTGAGAACTTGTGTTCCGACCAGAAAAGTTTGGATACTGCCAGAAGTACATGTGGGTCATGCTCACATTTCTTGAGGGCATCCACTGACTTGGTCTTTCGCTGTGGCTTGGTTTCCATGAAGATGGCCTCCGCCCAAAGTTCTCCGGCATTGGGACATTCCTGCAGTGCCCTGGCCATCATGGTGCTGGCAATCTCCTTGAGACCCGCTCGCAATTCCACCCGGATGGCCTCCAGCCAGAGAACAGCCACCTTGGGATTGCGCAAACGTCCACGTTCCAGAATGGAACGAGCCTTTGTCAGCACGCCTTTGCGCTCCTCCAGATTGGCGGATAGAATCCAGAGTGGTATGGAGGTGGGACACTTTTTAAGGCCCTGCGTGTACGTGGCAGCCGCATCATCCGTCCGTCTCTGCTGCTCCTCGATTTGACCCTTCATCATCCAAAGTTTGGGGAAATCGGGAAACACTTCGACGGCTTCTTCTAGCAAACGTAGAGCCTCATCAAAACGCTCCAAAGCCCATTCCAGACGAGCCGATTTCATCATCACCCTGGGTGTGGGTGCAGAACCTCTGGCCTTGGCCAGCAATCGTCTCGCCCGCTCATATTCCGAGTTCTCCGATTCCAACTTAACGGCTGCCAACCAAATGTCCTCGGAATTGGGATTTGCTTGGAAGGCCAGCGATAGAATTCCTCTGGCGGCCGGCACATCTCCAGCCATCCATTTGGATTTGGCACCCATCAGCCAGAGGATCTCCGATTTGGGACAATGGGCCACGGCTCGCTGCAACAAGGCCTCCAGGGACTCACGGGTGCCATGGTTCTTCTCGAAGTAGGCTGCCCGCAACCAGATGCTCTTCTTGGAGGGGAATATCTGCAGCGCATGAGCGTAGACAGCTCGTGCACACTCAAATGCATTCTCCTTTGCGCACTGAAACACGGAAAATAATGAGTTTTCATTAATTTTGTTCAATCAAATACAAGCTGCATATGAATACTTACGAAATCTGCATCATCTATCCAGGTTTGCTTGCGATCCTCCTCCTCTACGCCTATTCCAATGACTGCTTTTACAATAGATTGACAACAGTTGACTGCACCCGATTTCTCCGATTCGATGGCCTCCTGGAACCAGTGATCACGGTTGATCTCAACTCCATTGACGGTCAGCGAGGTCAACGAACGATCGATGATCTTCTCCACCATGTGGATGTTGCCATTAGCCTCCTCCAGCTTGGCAGCTGTGGTCCAAATCTGTCGATCAGTGGGTATATTCTCACGAGCTTTGTTTAGGACCTTTCTAGCGTTCTCGTAGGTTTCCAAACGGGCGAGGGCCAGCCAGAGTTCCACGCTGGTGTTGCAACACTCCACAGCTCGCGAAAGTAGAATACGTGCATCGTCGGGATTCTCGAGCTCTACGGCGGCTTTCCACAGGCGAACAGAGTTCGGAATGTGTTCGAGAGCCTTTCTGAAAACCCTGCGCTTGGCTTTCGTCTCTGTTTCCAAGTCAGCCGCTTTAATCCAAATCCTCACAGAGGTGGGAATGTGACGAGCAGCTTGCGCGATCACCGCTTTCGCTGTATCCGGTGGCTGAAGACGAGCTGCCTCCAGCCAAAGATCCTCGGACTGGATGTTCATTTCGCAGCCCCTCATGATCAGGTTCCTGGCCATCTGAACCTTGCCGGTGACCTCCTCTAAACGGGCAGATGCAATCCAAGCTGGCGGATGGTTGGGATTCGTTTCCCTCACACTCTTGAGCAGCAGACGTGCCTTCTTGATGTCGTTGATGTCGCCGCCATAGGTGGGAATCATGCTCTGCAGGTCGGTGAGGTAACCCTTGGGATCCACCACCGTTTGACCAGTCACAGAGTCGGAAACCTGCGATAGCTTAACATTCATTAGCGTGTTTCGCGCCTGACCAATCTTACGCAGATCCAAATCTCCTGTGGGCGTCAACATGCCGGGAGTGGCCACACCAGGCACCATGGAAGCCAAGCCCGAGGACGGATCCAATGTGGAGGAGGATTCACCGCCAAGATTTCTCGATATCAAGCTATCCGGCAAGGGGGTAAACTTCTCGGCCCTGGGATTTCTTTGCTTCCTGTTGCGACTATCGCCCACTTCTGGGATGGTGGACCACTCCTCCGAGGTGACGCTGGCCAGCGAGCGTTTCAGGTCACTGAACTGCTGCTGAATCTTCGGTCGCTCCTGGCGATACCGCTCTAAATCCTCGCGCAGCCGCCGATCGCGATATTCCTTGCGCTTCTCGTCCATCCGCTTGTCTATCGAATCGTAGATGGCGTCCGCCTCCTCGTCGTCCTTGTCGTACGGATCCTTGGAGAACAGGGAGCCGCTGTAACCACTAAACTCGTCATAGTTTGAGTCGTTCAAGTCTTCGTCCTCCTCCTCCTCTTCGTCTTTTTTCTTACGTTTGGTGGCTGGTGGCGCATGGCGGTCGTCGGACACATCGTTGGCATCACGGGCTGGACCAATATCGGAACGGGTGGTGAATCCCGTCGCTCTAAAAAAGCAAGAAAACCATTAAAATTAGCTTTTTCCCCATGACAAAATAGTGCATTCGATTGTACTTACCCGCGACCAACGCCGGCCACATAGCCCAATGGAGCTGGAACGCCAAGGAAATGTTTCTTGTTGCGGTTGGCTATAACCGCTGCCGTTATGTTTGACATCTTTGATTACTTATTGGTCAATTTATTCTTCTTTATTTTATTAATTTCACAAACAACTGAAAGTTTATCAATGCGTGGTGCGCTTCCTCTTCTTCTTGTTTGGGAAAACAGTGTTGGTAAGTTCTCGTTCATCGATGCAGGGCGCTAGAGATGAGTAGATAATGAAGTCACAATGACAGAGGAAAACTGTGACCGAATTTTTTTGGGTGTACTTTTAACCAAATTCCAATCAAAGCTGCTTAGGTTTATGATAAGAATATATTTGAAATCGGTATGTTCTAAACAAATTCCAACAGATCTTGTACAGTTATTCGGCAGAAATTCCTTTGAAATTGGTTGGATATTAATAGCCGTGACTATCGGCAAAATATAACGACTTGATTGTCCACCTCTAGTTCGCACCGGTATATCGATGCCAAATACTTTGCAAATCGTTTTGAGAAAATTAATTGACAAAAACAAAAGCAGATTTAAGCGAGAATTTGTGAGAATTTCAATTTGATTTTCATAGGAAATTAAAGCAAGATGCCCGTGCTGCCAATGCCACCACTTATGCATGTAAATAGCCATGAAAAACTTTATATTTGGTAAAATGTAGTCAATGAAAATTGTGTATTTCTCAAACAAAAGAACGCTGTGGAGCCGATGCAAGTGGATGCGCCGCCAAATGAGGACAATGAGAACAACGAGGAGCAGCAGATTGTGGTGGAGAATCCCAGCATTGATCTCGAGGTGTACGCCAATCAATATGCCGGGATCGTAAGACTGCATCGCCTGATGTTTGTGGCCGATGTGTGCCCAATCTTGGCAGTGGAGGCTCTGAAGATGGCCATTACCTATGTGCAGACCACCTACAACGTCAATCTCTACCAGGTGCTGCACAAGCGCTTGAGTGACTTGAATGCCGGTAATGCTCCAGTTCCGCCTGCCAATGCTGGCGGAGATCAGGCAGCCGCAGCAGCTGCAGCTCCTCTGCCCGATATCGCCGCCCAACCAGTGGCCCAGGCTCAGGGACAAGCACAGCCCGCTGGCGAGAAGGATGCCTTCGCCTACGATGCCGTATGGGTGGACACAAAGATGAAGAAGGCGGCGTTGAAGCTGGAGAAACTGGACTCCGATCTGAAGAACTACAAGTCGAATTCGATCAAGGAGAGCATTCGCCGGGGTCACGATGATCTGGCTGACCACTACCTCAGTTGCGGCGACCTCACCAATGCCCTGAAGTGCTATTCCCGGGCCAGAGACTACTGCACCAGTGGCAAGCATGTGGTCAACATGTGCCTAAATGTCATCAAGGTTTCCATCTATCTCCAGAACTGGGCCCATGTGATGAGCTACATATCCAAGGCGGAAAGCACTCCGGACTTTGCCGAGGGCTCCAAGGAGGCCAATGCCCAGGTGCATACTCGGCTGGAGTGCGCCGCTGGTCTGGCGGAACTGCAGCAGAAGAAGTACAAGGTGGCGGCCAAGCATTTCCTCAATGCCAACTTCGATCACTGCGACTTTCCCGAGATGATCTCCACCAGCAATGTGGCGGTTTACGGTGGTCTCTGTGCCCTGGCCACCTTCGATCGACCGGAACTGAAGCGCCTGGTCATCGCTTCCACATCCTTCAAACTGTTCTTGGAACTGGAGCCCCAGCTCAGGGATATTATATTCAAGTTCTACGAAAGCAAATATGCCTCCTGCTTGACGCTGCTGGATGAGATCAGGGACAATCTGCTGGTGGACATGTACATAGCTCCCCATGTGACCACGCTGTACACCAAGATTCGTAACCGTGCGCTCATCCAATACTTCAGCCCCTACATGTCGGCAGACATGCACAAAATGGCCATGGCCTTTAACTCATCGGTGGGCGATCTAGAGAACGAGGTGATGCAGTTGATATTGGACGGGCAGATTCAGGCGCGCATCGATTCGCACAACAAGATCCTGTACGCCAAGGAGGCGGATCAGCGGAACAGCACCTTCGAGCGGGCCTTGATCATGGGCAAGCAGTATCAGCGTCACACCAGGATGCTCGTCCTACGGGCTGCGATGCTCAAGAGCCACATCCACGTGAAGAGCATTTCCAGGGAGGGCGGCAGCAACCACGGCGCCGAGCTCTGCGTCTCCGCCGGATCCTCCACAACCCCTCAAATTGCCAGGATCTAGGCAAATTGAATAAGCACCTAGTAAACAATAAAGTCTTTAAAGTATGTATATCACACTCTGGCAAAATAAAGAGTTTTAGCAAAGCTATTCATTTTTAATAAAATATAATGAGACAAAATATACATTAACATGTAATTTATGAACTCCCAAAAAGGTATTACAACAAATATCTAGTTTAAAATGGATACAAAATGTTCAAAATTTATTAGTGGACAATACAATGATAATACTATCGCCTGGAATGCTCCCGGCGCTCTTTTTCCCTTCTCCTATCTCTGCTGGTTGATCGCGAGCGATCTCTGCGATGCCTGCTTTCATCCCTTCGGCGCTGGTGGCTATGCTCCGATTCCCTGGACCTCTGATGACCATTTCGTTTGTCATCTCTGTGGTTATTTTTGTGAGTGTCCTCGGAATCGCTGCTGTCCGAGGATGAAGAGGAGGACGAACTGTCGCCAACCGAAGATTTTCTTTCCTTTCTGCCTGACTTGTCCTTTTTCGATTTCTTTTTCTTGCTCTCTTTATCGTCTTTTTGCTTTTTGGATTTTTTCTTAGAGGGTTTTTTGATACCCTCGCCCTTGCGCTTCATACGTTCGATCTTCTCCAGCTTTTTTAACAGCTTTAGCTTTTGTTTCTTGGACAGGGATTTGAGGAAGACAAGCTCGGGATTTTGTTGATTGGCGTGGGCCTCCTCCTCGCCATCGCTGGGCACCAGTTGGTGTTGCTGTTGGATGGCCTTGATGCTCTGCAACTCCAGCGCCGATCGCTTCATCATTAGGCCATCCTCCTTCATCTGCTCCTCCAGCACATTCTTGGCCATGATGTCGCCGGCCTCGGTTTCTGCATGCAGTTTGCGTGCCTCGCTCATGGAAATGCTGTACATGGTGCACTCCTTGTCCGTGTTGATGTGGCCCCACTTGTGACACTTGAGGCAGCGCACGTTGCGCACCTGGATGCCAAAGGGCTGGTCCCGGATCTCGGTGTCCCCCTTGCAGTAGGACTCCCTGGGAGCGTTGTACTTCCGCTGCCACTCGAACTTGTACTCCGGCTCGTTGTCGTCCTTTTCGCGCTCTTTTCGCACTCCTGGCGGTGGCTCGTACATAAAGTTGACACTCAACTTGTCCTTGCTGTCCTTGCTGAGCATCGCCTTGTTCTCGTGCAGATTCTGCTCCTTTTCGTACTGATTGCGCAGCTCCTCCTGCTTCTTTTTGTACGCCTCCGCCTGCTGCTCCGCCATCCACACCTGGAGAAGATTACTTCGTTGTTAGCCCATCACCTTAGAAGATACGCATTTCATCAGGATCCTGTAGGTCACTTACCCTTTTCAGATTGTCCCTGGAGGCGGGGTGGAAGAATTTCTTACACATGTAGTTGTTGAAGCCCTTGCCCATCTTGCTGCTTTGTTTTTAAACTACTTAATTGCAGACAAATCGAGGATTTTTCGATTTTTATAAATGTTTTCCAGCTGCCTTGTTTATTAGTACGAGTCAGTGTTGTAAGATGTACTAGAGATGAACACAAAACAGTGTTTGTAAACTAAATGTCGTTGTAGAGATATCGGTAAAAAAAAACAATATTTTAAGATATTGGGTTGTTTAAAATGTTCTTTATTTAAAAAAACAATAGCTAAAGAGTTTTTGTTAAGAAACTAACAATTTAAACATAACATAAGATGTAACTTGTTGATTGGCATTGTTCATATATAAAATATAACCAGCTGCGACCCATATCTAAATAATATATTTAAGAATACAAGTCATTGAAAATCTAATCTCAAAACTATCGGTTATTATTACCTTATTACGATGTTACCCAACACTTTTTTAACACAGCGCCAGCCTGTCGTGAAATCTGAAACTCCTAAAAGGTTCTGGAAGATCAGAAAAATAAATAAATATGGATAACGGAGACGAATCGGATATGGTTAACTGCCCATACAACAAGGAGCACAAAATGTTGCGCAAGAAACTCCAGCAGCACATCCTGAAATGCCGTGTGATCTACAAAGACACCGTGCAACTGATGATATGTCCCTTTAACAAGGCCCATTTGATACCGGAGCCCGAGTTATATGTAAGTATGATGCTGTAAAGTAAGAAACCTTACGTTAATTCTCATCCTTGCCTAGCAACACACCAAATCGTGCGAGGATCGCAAGATTATAGTCCAGTATCAGACGAGTGCAGCTGCTGTACTAACGGAGGACACCAGACACGCCAAGATTGAGTCCGAAGAAAACTGGGACGACGACGAAGATGTGCCGGATTACAATCCGCAGGTCTATTGTTCCCAGGCCAATATAGTGAGGGAACCGAATGGACTGTTTCCCTCACAGCGAAAGGCTTTTATCAAAGAGGAGAACCGTCGTAAATTTGGCGACGATTACAAGGAGGAGAAGAAGCCACCAAAGGCCAAGTCCCGTGTGGAGTCCCGTCCCGCTCCATACGATCCCAGGATGCATAACTCTAGGCGCCACTAGTTGGAATCTATCAAGTTATCCTTCAAATTTCAATCTCAAAGCAAAAACCAAAGCTTATCAAAGTGTCTTTTACTAACCTCACAAGTACAAACAAAAATCAAAAATCAACATGTTGAATCGCCAATAAAAATGGTTCAGATTTCAGTGAAACAAGAATCAAAGAAAATACAGCTTTTAAAATTATAGGAATGTATAGGAAAATCGCGTTCGATATAAAAGTAGTGCCTTATTCTTTATGAAAGTTTCAGAACTCTATTTTCCTGTTTTAAGCGTGAAAACCTTTTAGGATAACAACAAGGTTAAGCTTTAGATTATTCGTAGAATAAATGTTTGTGGTCTGGACATCGATTTAAACGCCCAAGAAATCATTAAAATGTTAATATAAGCATTCTGAGCCTTAAAAATTACTCTTCGGTGGACTTCATATGATAAGACTGTTTTATCTGAAATTGTATTTCATCTAAAGTCGATTGATAAAAAATAGAAGAGAGTACTATTTTAAAAGTTTAACTTTAAAAGAAACATAAAATTCATCGATACACCAATTAATATTGTCAAGATAGTTTCCTAATAAAGTTTAAACACACTTTTGAGGACTTTTAAGAGTGTAGCTTTTAAATACACATTTAACAGATTAGTATAAGGCATTATATATTGGAATATAAGTTTCGAATGAAGGGATAGAAAGGAGGATATATTGCGGTATTGTTGCGTGGAAAGGCAAATAAATGATTTAGTTTTTAGAATCTAATAAGAATTGGCGAACTAAGTCTACTCTCATAACAAATGTGTCTAAAATAATTTCACATGTATTGATAACCTTGCACAGAGCGCGGGCATATACTTTCTCAAATAGTTTCGTCTAAAAATTTGTATAGTTTTTAGCCACTGCAATTAGGATTTTTTGAACCGTCACTTTACCAAAGCTTTTATAATTCCAAATTGAAAAACTTGTTTATAAAGATTTATAATCTGCATAAACCAAACCACATGGCTTGCATGGAAGCTTACAAAATGCTATTTAGTTTAGGTAGTTTATCTAATCACGACTGATTTTAAAACTTAATCCGTTTTAAAGGAAAACGCCATTAGGATCCATTTGCGAAAATCAACTTTTCTTTATTGTAAAGAATGCGTCGCTTTCCACACGCGATTTTTTCAGATGTTTTGTTTTTTACACTAAGCGTTACGGTAAAAACAGTAAACAGCGACGAGGGCGGTCCAGTTGTGAGCTTTTTCCGGCGGTTTACGCGGTCTCCATGGGCTGGGCGGCGGTCTCCTCGGTGTACTTGCCCTTGTCCTTGCCGAGAGCAGCCAGACGGCCCTTGCCGCGGCGCTCCAGGATGGCCTTGCGGTCCTTGTCCAGCTTCAGCTTGACAATCAGCACCTTGCTGGGGTGGATGCCCACGTAGACGTTGGTGCCGTTGGCGTTCTCGCGCTGGATCTTCTCGATGTAGACGACGAACTTCTTGCGGTACGACTGGACCACCTTGCCCACCTGGTTGCCCTTGAAGTGGCCGCGGATCACCTGGACCTCATCGTCGCGGCGGATGGGCATGGAGCGCACGTTGTACTTCTGGCGCAGCTCCTTCGACAGCGGGGCGGACATGAGGCGCCGGCGGATGTGGGAGGGGGCCTGGAAGTGGCGCTTGCGGTTCTTCCTACGCGACGACGAGACGTGCGGGTTCTGCTTCATTTTGCTGTGCGGACTGCAAACAAAAATGCACAATTTTAGGAAATTAAGCACGTGTTTTGCTTAAATTGCTCAACTGCGACTTCTCCGGAAACGAAGCCAAAAGAAAAGGAAAGAAGAAGAGTTGCTAGAGGTGAGCAGCAATAAGTGTGGCTGTGTTGGCGAGCATAATCGTGATTTTACGAGCAGGCTGCTCCCATCCCTGAGGGCCGTTCACCCACTAAAGAGATAACATATTTATTTCTTTTAAATACTTTTGCCCACATCCTTGCAGGGTTTGCGTTGGGCGTTACACTAAAGAAAGAAATTATCTCTGCGCTATGATTGCATTCTGAAATTGAAATTCTCCCTCTAAAGGGAATTGTATGAGTGTAAAGCGAAAACACAAATTTAATTCAAAAGAAAGGCGGGAACTGAATTTCTGGGAGGTTGAGAGATGACAATTGGTTTTTTACCCAGTTGTGTTATTTTAATTAATTAAATGTTTATTTACATATAGTGTTAAACTTTTATTCTTTGCGATTAGTATCGATCTCTCTTGGTTCATCTCTAGATGAGGAAACGTCAAAATCGAGACCTGCGCTTTACAACACTTGTGGGGAGTGTGTCTTTACTAATCCTGTGACTTGTCACCACTGTTACATTTGAATTTCAAAAAAAAAAATTAAATTGAATTTCAATTGAAAAATTATTCAATTGAGAACGTATAGGGTCTGTACAATGTTTGGCTCCGCAATAAATTCAACATACGAAATTGATATTTTGAATTTGAAATGGAGTTGGAAAATATGAACGCATGAATGTATGCTTAAAGTAAACTTTTTAGTCCCCAAAAAAAAAAATAACTGTAATAACTTACAACAAATTAATTTTAATATAATGTCAAAAAATAGTATAAAATTTGGAGTCTTATTATATTTTAACTAATTTAATTTGTGTACTTTGGCTTACCACCGTTCGTTAATGCTCTAACCGGCTGTGTGTGTTGAACTTCAGTTTGGGTGGTGAAAAGCTTTTTCAAAATCTGGTTGCTCTTGTCTGGCGATCGTGTCTGCTGCTGGAGAATGGAAATTCAGTCGCGTGTGAGCAGCCAACTGTTGCCGTTGTCTCTGGGGATCCGGTCCAAAATCCTAAATAAAGTCCAGTTTGGCCCCTTGATTAAATTAATTTTTCCACTACATTCAAGATGATGAACAGCCTGAAGAGACTGCCAGTGCGCATGGTAAGTTGGCCACGCCCCCTCAATTCTTACTTTGGCATTAACTTATTTAACTTGCTTTACTTATTTTTTAGCTGGTTAATTCCGCTGCACGTCAGCAAAATGCTGCGATGTCCTCGGCAACAGGTCTTCCCCCACCCCTTACCTTCCTTACCGACGATGAGAAAATGATGAAGGAGACTGGTGAGTTTCGCCCTTAACTTATGTAGATCATCAGAATTCAGAGTGATTTTACTCCAAGTGTAGCCCCATTTCGATAAGCGTGTTTTTTTTTTCCATGCCGAATTTTTAGATATTTTTATGGTGTTTAGTTGACTTGCCTGTTACGTAACTCCAAGCATCGCCTCATTCATGATGCTCTTGTTGTTATTTATTAATATTTTTGCATTTTACCACCTAACTAAAGTATTGCTGCATTATTGGTTGTATTTGTGTTTTTCGAGTTTTATATTTCTGCTGATAAGGTGTATTTAGTGTGGGGAAAATGTGGCGTGGAGGAGGCCGCTTGCCAGATAAGCACATTTTTATTTGGATAGTGGAGCTAAAATGTCACTTAATATGATGTTTGCTCGAATATTGTTAGGTGCAATTTTTCTACTTTCTACGACCAAGTAATCTAATAATTTTCATTGGCCGTATTAGCATTTTCTATAGGAGAGCGCTTAATTAAATTGATTTGTCTAGCGTGTGCGCCAATATTATATAATTTGTGATACCGGTTTATTTCTACATTATCAGGTGCCAGAAAATATGTTAAAGAAGAAGTAGGTCCTAAAGAAAATATTACAAAATGTTATTTATTAAAAAAGTATAAAGATTTTTAGTCCCAATTAAACTTTGTACTACAATTTTTGATAAGAGAAAATGTGTTTGAGAAAATTTATAATTTTTGTTCTATTAAAAACTTTTGCGAAAGAAAAACTTAAAAGTGTAAAACTATCAAATAACTAAAATTAAAAAAACAAACAAACAAAAATATTAAAATAAAAAATAACAAGGAAAAATACTTTTTAAAATGCTCAAACTAAATATGTCTATATGTATATCTAAAAAGTCGTTAAATCGGTGAAGTGTCGGATGAAAAATAAATGGTTATATTTTATTTCCTTAAAAATGTATAGATAGTACTTTAAAAGCTGCCAGCTGGCAAGTTCAAGGTCTAACCTTATCACAAGCTTTTTGTTGCTTATGTTAAAATTTTCCTATCACCTTAGTACCGACTTTTCTTAAAATATATTATATATTGGTTTCAATAATTGTCCAAAAAGTATAAAATCACTTCCAAACACGTAAAACTCACCTCAGTTGGGGATAAGGGAAAAAGGGGGTGGGTCTCTCACACACACTTTCATGCGGTCTAAAAATAGCTTTTTGTTACCGCCGCCGCTCAACTTTGAATTTCGTCGCTGCTTTTTTTCGGCTGGCGGTGGCGTTCCTCGTTGAGTTGCCGGTAAAATAATGGAAAAATTTACCAAAGCGCGAGTTCGAGTTTTGGGATCCTAACACGCCTTTCTTTTCTGCGGTATAATAGTTAAAGCGTGGGTGGTATATAAATATCCTTACATTTTTCACAGGTCAGTCAGCTGTTTGGTTCTGGTTTTATACGTCAACCGAATAGCGTTACACTTGTGATAGAGCATTAAATGCGACTGAGCCACGCCCCCTGCCCACCTGTGATCACTGTTCTAGTGATCACGCCGGACAATCAGGGGCGTGGCTCTTGGTCGGGCGCCCTTTCCTAGAGAGTTGAATTAGCTGAGTGGGCGGATCTCGTCCGCCTGCAATCCATCTAATTCCTAGTTGGGAAGGTTACATTTTTTTCTTTTAATAATTTTATTTTTCTTCGTCCCGCTTATCAATCACTCAATTGGTCTCAATCTATATGGTTTCCTACATATATAATATACACACAAATATTCCCAATGGAAAAGTAGGTGTCTATATGGTCTGACTGTTGCGCAATCTGAGCTGAATGCAAAGTGGCCAAGTGCATAAGTTAAAACTGGTTTTATATTTTTTCAAATTGCTTTTACTATATGAATCTGTACAGTTGACACTTGTACTTTGAGTTAAATCAAAAAAAAAGTTTACGAACAATAGTTATGTTCACACTTAATTCCATTTACAAAATTAAAACAACTACTAATTTCTCAGATTCTTAACAATTTGTTTATAAAAAGAATGCTTTAAATAGATAACGTTACCTTTTTCAGAAGCACCTTATTATTATAATTTTATATGTATTGCTGGCATTTATATTAGCTTCGAGAAATTGGTATTTAATAAAATGTGTTTTATTTATTTAACAAAAGTTGAAAAAAAGGATAAATGAAATTTACCATCGAGTCCATTGGGACACGTCACATCTGTTATAAAAATGCTGGGCAAGCCCATATGGTTGGAAAACTAAATGAATATACAAACTTCGTCAATTATTTATGCGTTTCTCATGAAAAGTATGTAATAGCAAGGAAACATATCCGAATGTATGCAAAATGGCAGGAAAGTCAATAGAGAGAGGGTGTTGAAGGTGTGAGAATTTGGTGGGTGTGTACCAGTTGTTGGCTTTCAAGCGGAAAAACAATGTCAAGAAGCAAAATGCTTTAAAAAAAGATCAATAATAAATACGCTGAGAGAATAATAGACTATCGAAAAAGACAGCTGCGAAAGCCCCACGCGATCGGAGAACTTGAAGAATCTGTTGATAAAAAAGACACACGCACCACTCACACAAAGATATTTTATCTGATACACAAATGTATATAGCGAAATATCTGAGCTTATACAAACACTATAGACCAACAGCAAACATCGGGCCTCTTAGAAGAAAAATAGGTAGAAAAGAATAAAAAGCAAAAAGCTTAAAACACGATTTTTTTAAGAAAACGTGCATTTAAATGTTCTTCAAAGCTTTCACAGAACTTTTTTGTAAAGCTATTCTAACGATCGTTAATTGTTAATGTATTTGAAGAATAAGCTACACATGTAAGCTTTTTTTATACTGGCTTAAATTTAGAGTTGAAATTATATAGATTATGATTAAAAAATGCAATGTGTTCTTTTTTAATTTTAAATATAATTTTTCATATAATTAAACTTGAATCCTTTCAATTTCAGTTGCCAAACTGGCTCAGGAGCAGATTCAGCCCTTGGTCAAGAAGATGGACCATGAGCACAAGTTCGATCCCTCTGTGGTGAAGGCCGTTTTCGAGAACGGTCTGATGGGCATTGAGATCGATACTGAGCTGGGAGGCAGTGGCTGCAACTTCATGACCAACATCATCGTGGTGGAGGAGCTGTCCAAGATTGATCCCGCCGTGGCCGCCTTTGTGGACATCCACAACACGCTGGTCAACTCGCTTATGATAAAGTTCGGCAATGCCGAGCAGAAGGCCAAGTACCTGCCCAAGTTGGCCCAGGAGTATGCTGGCAGCTTCGCCCTGACTGAACCCGGCGCAGGATCCGATGCCTTCTCCCTGAAGACGGTGGCCAAGAAGGATGGCTCCCACTACGTGATAAACGGCTCCAAGATGTGGATCTCCAACTCCGATGTGGCCGGAGTCTTCCTAGTCTTCGCCAATGCCAAGCCTGAGGATGTAAGTATTTAAAACAACTTTAGTAATTTTGTAATATTTTTCATCACAAGTTTTATTTTGCAAAGTACCTTTTTTATTTATTTTGTTTTTATATGTTGTCTTATAATATAATTTTAAATAACCTAATGATATTCTATAGACTTCGTATTAATCTCATTTCTTTTTTTTCGATTCCATAATATTTTCCAAAGCTAATCTTTATTTTTAATTTAAATGATTGCCATCTTATCGCTGTGAGATCAAAGTTCACTAAATTGATAATTGTTGTATAAAAACGATCTAAGCAATAATTTAAAAAATAAAAGTTTTAATTCCATTTTTTTCCTATATTTATATTTAATAAATTAAAAACCAGTGCCTCATCTATAGTCATACCGAATTGACTACTAATATTTATGGTACTTTTATTGCAGGGCTACCGCGGCATCACCACCTTCATTGTGGACCGTGACACCCCCGGACTGATTGTGAACAAGCCGGAGGATAAGCTGGGCATCCGTGCCTCCGGAACGTGCCAGCTGACCTTCGACAATGTGCGCGTGCCCGAGGAGAATATTCTGGGCACCTTCGGCCATGGCTACAAGTACGCCGCTGGCTTCCTGAACGAGGGTCGCATTGGCATTGCCGCCCAGATGGTGGGTCTGGCCCAGGGTACCTTTGATGCCACCATTCCCTATTTGCTGGAACGCAAGCAGTTCGGAGATGCCATCTACAACTTCCAGTCGATGCAGCACCAGATCGCCACCGTGGCCACCGAGATCGAGGCTGCCCGTCTGATGACCTACAATGCGGCTCGTCTGCAGGAGCAGGGCGTGCCCTTCCAGAAGGAGGCCGCCATGGCCAAGTACTACGCCTCGGAGGTGGCCCAACGGGCGGCCATCAAGTGCGTCGACTTTATGGGCGGCGTTGGCTTCACCCGCGATTTCCCCCAGGAGAAGTACTACCGTGATGTGAAGATCGGAGCCATCTACGAGGGCACCACCAACATGCAGCTCAGCACCATTGCCAAGTGCATCAAGAAGGAGTACTCCGGTTAGGAGCTGTAGGAGCTGTAGTCCTAATCCTCCACAGAACACCCCCCCACACAAGCTGAGATATCGTACGTCAGATACGTCAAGTGCATTTATGCGTGGGAACCGCTGTAACATTTTCTGACGGCCATCCGTTATCGGTTCTCTCCATGTTACCTTAGCATTTACCACATAGTTCTTTCTGTTATATTGTATAAAATACAATTAAAATATATACAAATATAAAATATATTTAAAATGTATTGGGAAAGGGATATAGTTTATCTTCCATCGGTTGTCGTGAAGGCCGCTAGCAGTATGTTGATCACTGTGATCATGAAAACTTCCATCACCAGCAGATCGTTGGTTCTTTCGTAACTTCGGTTTTTAAAACGCTTCAGTCGTCGCTGTGTGGTTTTCTTTTTAGTGGTTTGGTTTACAAATATATTTCTTACATACCTTGAAGATTAGCATTATGCCAACTAATAGTTGGAGCGCCAGGGAAGTTATCACCATAACCATGCTGTATATGTAGGTGGAGGACTTGTCGTTGTAAGTGATCAAGAAGCGAAGCTGATTGGCATTTGCAGAAAGCAAAGCTATATCCATGAGGCCTACAGAAAGTAGGGCAAAAATTGTAATGAACCGACATAAATCGGTAAACAAATGTTTTTAAAAACTGCAGTTCTACATATATATTAGCCAAATGATTTAAAATAATTCATTCGCTGAGTGCTTTCATAAATTAGCTTTAAAAAGTAAGGGTATTACACCAGTAAATAGCGCAGCGATCAATAAGTATATATGTTCTTGTGACATTAAGAGTAAAAAATAAAAAAAAATTAAAAACAAAAATATATTTCGGTACTCTCTAGAAGAAAAGTTAAACTATCCGTATTTGTTCGCTGTTATTTTGCACCCCTAATGAAAAGATTCATAACTTGTTTGCTTTATTTGTTGTATTCGGCTCCTCTACCGAAATTAATTTTTGTTTTTTATTTTATGTGCATGCAATGATTCACTTATTATTTTGCATGGGACATAAAATAGCATTCTGAATTTTCTTCCGACTTAAAATATTTCACAATCAACAACAAATAGATTACGTATTTAATTAAGAAGTGCTTACCCTCAGACACGTTTTTGTTTGTAGCATAGCTATTCCCTCCAGATAAATCGCTGGAAAATTTCTTTTTTGTTCCCTTGGATTTCTGCAATTCACTGGTGGTTTTCCTTTCCTCTTCATCCGTATCCTTCACCTGTATATATTCATCCGAATCACTTTGTAAACCGCAACATGGACCACTGGTTGTGCTAGTGAAACTTTCCCTTGAGCTGGGGGAATCCTCTAAAGATATTTTCACCTCGTTGCTGTCCATTGTTCAAGTGTTCATCAAACAATAAGCACTTAAATACTGTTATTTCATTGAATGCGAAAAGCTTTCCTTGCTTTTGAGTAAGTATTTAAACTTATGTGGTCTGCGGTTCACCAAAGGCGATAAAAAAGGAATGACACTGACCCGACTGGACAGTCAGCCCAAAGAAAACTGGGGCATCAGCCGACCCGAAAAGTATCTCATGGGTTGAGATACTTACTAAATAAGTTTGCCTTAAAGTATGCTAGGGATACTTATTTAAAATGCTTACCAAGTGGATGTGTAAAATGAATTTTAAAATATACATGCAACTGAAAAGAGGTGATTTAGTTTTGTTTGATCACCCCCACCTCAAGAACCCTTTAGTTTTATGCTTTATATAGGAAGCCATAAAAGAGTGACAAAACCTAAATAAACAAAAAACACAGAAATAACTTTGAGATGTGAAAGCTAAATCTGCTGCTTAACCCGACTTACAAAGCTTTACCCACATTTTCTGCACTCTCTCCTGACTTCATATTTAAAGAATTGACAGCTAAATCGATGCAACATTTTGCAAGTAATTATAGATTCTTGGTCAATAAACTTTTAAACTTAACAGGCAGCTGTCACAAGTGTTCCAGTGTCTCATAGCAAAAAAGGAGGTAAGTTAGAAAAATTCTGATTCAAATGTATCCCATAGAACTGTCAACTTTTAATGATTACCTTCTCTTATAATTTAAGTAATATTCTTTGTTTCCATTGATATTTGCTAATTGTATTAGCTTTTTGGCGTATACGTAATATTTTATGTTTTGTGGAAACGTAATTTTTTGTATTTATGTTTTCAATTGGTAAAAAAAATTGTAAAAAAAAATTGTTAAACGAAGGTATAAACATTTGTTTTGCAAATATTTGTATATTAAAAAATAAAAAGGATAAGAGATATCCTTAATATTTTTTTAAAGGTATTTATGTTAAAACTCGCATTTTAGAACAGCCCTCGTAAGTCGTGTCGCATTGCAGGACTGAAAAGTCACGCCACCCTCTCGTTGCTTTTGGCCATAAAAAAGTCAGCCGGTCTGCGGCTCTTATCCTTTGGTCCCTATTTTCCCATCCCTTTCCCATTGCAACCAATACCAAAATCGGCAGACACAATTACTCTCTCTTAGCAACCTGTCTCTCTCTGCCGGGTTTATGCAGCACGTGTAGTTTGTTTAACACTTTGTTCGTTGTTTGTTATGACTGGAGCTGGCGCTCTCACCCAAATTTCGCTCTCTCCATGGAGCTCTCTTACACTCAATGAAACCAATTATGGCTTGCGCTAATTCAGAAGCTTCAAATTTAAGGATTATTTAAACTATTTTGATATTTTTTCATGTAAATATTGTTATTGAATTAAATAATAAATTAATTCAAACTTAAATTGGCTAGCTGAGTTTGAAAAACATTTATTTTATTTATTAAAATGTTGGACTTTACCCTTAGCACAGTCAATTTAGTCTTTACATTTATTTGTACTATATTTTTTCAGTGCACCCATTTGTTATCTCTCTCCCTCTCTCTAGTAAAAAGTGTTTGGCTCTCTGTGTGGCTTCATTCATGCGATTGCCGTCGTTGTAGTTGTTTGTGTAGTTGCACGCATGCTCAAAACGCCGACTCAAACGCTAACGGACTTTATTTCCAAAGCTCTCAGTTGGCAGTTTTCAGTTCAGTTCTGTTTGGAACGTCGGAGCGTTTAGCAGTAATTTTTTCAGTTTTCGGTTTTCCGGTATTCCATGCTCGGTTCTAAGATTTTTCCTCTCTCTCTTTTCGTCCCACGCCCCACGACGCCTATCCGCCCCCCCAAAGCAACCCGGTAAATAATACGATACTATAGAAGGAATCCGCGAGTGCCGAAACGTAAACTTTTCATTGATTTTCCCAGGCTAATTTCGATGTGTGGATATACGGCCCGTGCCTAAATATAAATACACCCAACAAATGGGTTTCATCTTCAAGTAGTCCAGATTCCTAGGTAAGTTTTTTTTTGTGTGGAGAAAATCAATGGCCAAAAAACGCATATATCCGCCTTGACCTCAGTAGGCTCATTTTGTTTCTCCTTCTTTTTTTTCCTCCCTTTCCCTCTCCATCATCCTGGCCCTCTTTTTTTCGCCTCTTTTTGTTTGGCCAAACCTGATTTGACCCGGCAATCAAGAAAACTGCCTATGAAATCAATAGCATGGCCTAAACACACTTATTTATATTGCATTATATAAGCACGTTTCTTTTGTATAAACATAATAAGAAAATGAACTTAAATACATATGTATATTTGCTGATTTCTTACAATGTTTTTCTGGGGCATCAGGTTATACTATGTAAGGAAAAAGAAAATATAACCAACATATGGTGCATAACAAATGACTATTATTTTAATTGCATTGCCCTTTTCAGTTTCCCTTGAATAAATAATCATATACAATATGAATATATTGAGGATCGAGTTTGAATTTAAAATACGAAACTGCATTTTAGTCGATAAAACAAATAATAAAAAATAATAAATGATTGCATTAAATAAACTATTCATTATCTTTGAAATTAATTTTTTTAAATAATAAAATGCAATATTAATAAAAATTAAGGCCACATGTTGAAAAATTACCGGGTATAATATATTCCGAAGACTACATATTTTGCATTTTTTTTTGGGTCGACGTCGACTGTCTGCATTGTCCATTGAGTGATAATCTGCTTAGTGAGAGGGCCTCGACCAGATGTCTGGGTGCAAAGTTTCACTCCCGGCCTGATAAAGGTTTACCCTGTTCTTGCTGTTTCTGCTGCTCCAAGTCTTATCAGCAGTCCAAAAGCCTGGGGATGCGCTCCACTGGCCGCTTGTTTAAGTGGGTGAAGTGGTTCGGTCTGTTCGGTGGCTAGAATGCGTTTGGCTTTGCACCAAGTGCAGTATAAAAATTGCAGCAGTGGCAAACCAAAGCGGATTACAAATTCTCACTGTTGCTTAGAATATTTCCTCGACTGCAGACGACTTAACAATATCAGGCACGAGGGTAGCTATATTAGTTTAGTTTTAGTTTTTGGTCTTAATTCTGAATGTTTTTATTGTCTTTTTAAATATTTTTAACTTTTATCTTCGTTTAAAATTCAATTTCGGATCAATCTTTTTTTTTAGCATTACTTAAAAAATGTCGACTAAATTTCTTTAAGCCGGAAGAAACATTACAGATTAAAACTTTATATTGTCAACCTGCCATTGAACACCTATTTATTATTGTAATTATATTCAAACCACATTACAAATAGACTGAGAAAATTCTCATGCAACAACACATTGGTTTTTACTCGCATGCATTTCAAAACCAGTTTAAGCTAACCTCTAATAATAGTTGGGAATTCCATTTCAAACTGTAATGTGGTTCAAACTCAAATCAATATTTTAGCCATTTTAAATGGGAAATTCGCAAATTTAAAATTCAAACTTGAGAAACCAGTTATGTATGGAATGCAAGTTTATTGCAACTGTTTATGTTTAAGGTCAAGTAAGAATACAAATCAATGTCAGGAAATAAATGGAAGGGAATTATAAAACCAACAATTTATATTTTTCTGGTTGAAGGCAAGCTTATGTACCGATTTGAAAATAGTAAATGTGCTTATTTTTAAAAAATTATGAACTGTTAAGCTGACTTGAAACCATCTTGAAAGCAAAAGGTTATCCCGTGAACTAATACAAATATAATGAAGAGATCTTATTTATTATACGTCACATTTGTTGTTGTCTTATTAAACAACCTGTCCTGAAAGAATTTTTGAAAATCCCAGAACAGGGAGCTTCCCTGTTGAAGCGCATTTAGGCAAAATGCTTGCAAACTTTAATCTTTATTATCTCGTATTTTAGTTGCAGTTGTTTGAGACTTTTTGTTTCACAAACAGATAAGAGGCTTTCAAAATCATAACAGATAAAGCTATAAACGCGAAACAGATAGACAAGTGCAACTCTGTCTACCAGAAATTTTTGTTCATGAATAAATTTCATAATTTTTTAAATGTGCTTAAATTGTATACAGACATTAGGCAAAGGATTTTGAAAAGATATTAGTTTTTGTTGTTCTCATATCTGGTCAACTCAATCTACCCTAAAAATATGGTATTGCCGTAAGTCCAATTTAAATAATCATCCTAAATTGAACGCATTTTAATTGTTGTCACTTGACTTGTCAAGGGGCCAGTGGCAATTATCTATCTATAAAAAGAAATATAGGTAGATGTGTACATATGGATAACCCCTAATTAGGCGGAAAATGTATGGTATTCATATCTTGTGGTTTTGCCCTCTGGTTCAGCTTGATTGCACTCCGTAGGCATGGGAACAGAGAATTCGTAATGTTCCATTAAGCCCTATTTCCAAGTGCTGTATTTCCCAAAAAACCTACAATTTTAAAACCGGCCTTGTTAAACATTTAACCGATTTGTGCACTTTTATTGATTATTTTGCAGGCTATCTTTTGCGGGCAATCATTAAGCTTAACACGTAACATTCACTCAGGTAGCAAATAACAACTACAAACTACTACTATAACAACAAATAAAAAACAAACAATAATATAAGTAAAGAGAGAACAAAACGATGACGCCGGAGAAATCGGTTATGGCCTACGTCAACCACTTAATAGTCAGCAATTTTTCATATTTCTGTAAGTATTATTTCTACAAGGTTTGTTTAACTTTTATACTTAAACATAAATATACAACATTAATAACACAAACAATAAAAAAATGTAATGTAAGACAACATAAACATTTAATTTTGAACAAGAAGTAAAAGTTTATTGTTTCTTGGTATATATGTGTTTATTAATATAATTTATAAAAATTAAGAATTATTATTTTTGCAAAAATAAAAACTTTTCTCGATGAAATCATCGAAAATTATAAATTAATTTTCCCAAACATTATTTCAGCATTTAAAATGTTATTTATTTATTTTGTACTTCTTTTTATCGGACTCTAATTTTTTTGACTTCT